CATCCTCATCTTGGGGTCTCATCAGAGAGACATTAGATGAAATTGTGAAAAATCCTGGTCACCAGATGTTTAGGGATTCCCATACTTTAATTTATCAACTCAGCAAAGTTCCCAGTGATTCAAGTACAGTGAGGCCTTCAGTAGGAAAAAATCATAAAATTTTTTACATATAAATCCAGTTTGGGCTGCCATTTTACCTTAAGCATCAAAGTTATCTTGAGGAACAAACTAAATAAGCAACAAAAAAATGGAAAATAATATAAAAACACGTTTGAGGCAAAATAAATACTGCGGACAAATGCATTTTTTGAATGACGATTTATGTATTCCCAAATCCGAATGCTGCAGGACGGAGTATGGAGAGGAATACATTTTTTTAGTTAATTTGAATTCCGTTTATAGGCTATATTGTTTAAGGTCCCACTTACGTAATTTCATGCATTATAATTTCAAGCTTTTATATTGATTTAATGCGTAGAATTGAATACAAGCACTATAATTTAAATTATTGTGGTGAGCAAGCTTGGAAAGTTTCTGGTTTACAGCTCTTGAACCAGCCTGTGACAGTTCATGAAAGCAGGAACTGAGAGAAATTAGTATGTTTTTAATTAAACTAATGTGTCACAGTCTTCAAAACCAGACAATCATGTAAAATCAACATTATGCTCGATTGGGAATTTTGGAGCAAATAAACATCATTATTATCATGCATTTTTAACAAAGAGAATAATGCGTAAATGGTTCATTTTGAATGAATGAATGAACAGAAAACTTTATTTGCCGCTTTTCAGCATTCACAAGGTACAACCAAAACTCCTGCATCCAAACCCCCTCCCCACCCAACCCAACTCCCCCAAAATACATTCAATCACTTCAAAGCATGAAACAAAGCATAAACCAATGACAAAAACAAAAGAGAACACACTCTACAAAATAAAAACTGGACATCCTATCAAAGCATAAACCAATGACAAAAACAAAAGAGAACACACTCTACAAAAAAAAAACTGGACATCCTATGCGTATGTTGCATACACCCACCCATCCCCAATATTGAAGACAAAGCAGCAGTAAAAGTTTATTTAAAGCACAAGGTCTTCAGCCTTTTTCTGTATGAGTTTTAGTTCAATGAACAGCAAGTTTGAGCTGACATTTGAGCAACATAATTGCATTTTTTGCCACGTCAGAATAGTCTGTATTCTGTAATACTGACATGGCCCAAAAAGGATAAGATACGAACAGACATTTTCTAACTAAAGCCACGCAACCTTGTTTGGCCAATACTATAAAATGTATGTGCCCAATACATTTCCCCCAAAATTCTGTATTTTGCCCTGAGCTAAAGCAGTTGACTTAAGCAAAGGTATTTCTTTGAAAGGCAAGAAGTAATAAAACAAAGGTGCGTGAACAGAGCCAAAAATGATCAAATGCTTCCACATCATTGCTGTACTAGGAGAAGATGCCAAACATAACTGAGGATGTTGTGTCTTCTTAGCTGCCACCTCAAATATCCTTTGATGAACCATAGAATACACTACTATATACTGGTAGATTGAACCCAGCAGTTGATCAAGTGCTGTTCGGCACTTCGGAGTGCTTATACCTGTAACTAGGAAATCTTTTTTTATGTCCAGGGAACCTAAAACATACTTTTAAATAAACCATTCACCGTATTCTAATAAATCACTATAGAGCATCGGGAAATATTTTCCGAAATCACATGTTCCATTTTTTCAGTTTAAAATTTTTTTTCAGGTCATGCGTCAGAGCATTAAAATCAAAACTTAAAATTTTGCTATTGTGAGGGCAGTAAAATAATGATTAAGAATTGCACTAAACAAGCTCATTCACATGAAAAAGTGCTAAAAAATTATAAGAATTGTCAATGGAATGCTGGAAAAATCCCCCACAAAAGTACTTGCTGTGAGGATTTTCAAAAATGTTTTTTTAATGAGATGTTGTATATGTTTTGAAGAGTTTCTCTCACTAAATTAAAAACAGATTGTAATAATGAATAATTTCTTGAATAGAATTTCAATTGTAGGTCTAATCTAAACTTTATTTCAAGCATGTTTCAGGTTCACATCATCTCCAAGACAGATTAAAAGGACCCTGACATTACATGGCAAATGACTCTTTTCCTTACATCTGCTGAGGAATATTTTCTCCCCCAATAATCTGAGGCATGTTGGACACCCCTCCTCTGCAGCATGAGTTCTCCATAAGACTTGCGGAGGGCAGTGGGTTCATGGAGAATCCAATCCCGGGGGGACCAGCAATCCAGGCCCGCACCCATCGGGTCTCGCCCCACAATACCACCCTAAGGGCAAGGAATCACCTCTCCGTTCGTAAAAAGTGTCCGGGTGGGACGGACTCACCAGGCGTCTTTCAACAGCAGTAGCCCGGAGATCGGCACCGGCACAACCCATGGAACTCAGAATTTCTCAGGCCAATTATTTAGAGAATTTCTTCAAGTGACTATCTCCAAGCTGAAGTAGGATTTTCCATCAGAGCAGTCCTTATACCTGTGGCTGCATTTTACTACATACTTTCCGTTTTTAAAAATCACTTTCGCTTTTTCTGTTTTTTTCATACTAGGGAAGCTTTTACAGCACCTCAGATTTTCCATCAAAATGCTAATTTCTGAGTTTGCGTTGATCCTTATTAGGGGAGACTAAAAAGAAATATCTCTCGCAGGATAATAATTTTAAAAATAAGTTCTCAGAAGAAACATGCATAATAATGATAATAATAAACATAAATGAGCCCTTTCACAAATTGAAGATTGATTTTGGTCACATTCCTTTCCAAGGACTCATGGTCCTTTTAAGCAGTGACTTATTGTGTGGGGTGTGTGGATGCGTGTTTTAAATCAACAACACATGAATAAGCAACCTAATCATGCATTATTTGGATCTACAGTATTCCCCAATTCAGTGTGAACGTACAGACAGCAAGACCTGAACCAACTATACAGACGTTGAACTTCGACCATCAAATTAGTACAACTTGGTACCCCTCATCACAGAGTTTCTTGGTTGAAATTAGTAAATGCAATAGACTTCAGATGTTCAAGATCATTTCTAGTGTTTTCTTGAATTACAAGCACAAGTAGTTCTTGGGGATAAATGAAGAAAAGATCCAAGAAGACACTCCTCTCCTCAGCTCAGGAGCAAGAGTAGCATCTTGTGCCCAGCAACTTCAACCAGACTTCCCATCCAATTCTCAATTGAACCCATGAGGAAGCGGGCGCCAAGAACTAGCTGATGCGCAGCTTGATGTTCTGGGAGGCAGCTGGGAAATAAGATAACCCAGAAAAACACGATTAAATGTTCCCCAAGGAAAACTTGCTCTCGAGGACAAGCAAGCTTTACCTAGATAAGTGAATGGCAATAGGCAAGGAACCGAACAAGCAAATTCTTTTATTTTATGTTGAAGAGGTGTACACACCTAATTTATACTTCGGCACTTATGCATTTACTCAGCTGTTGACTTGGAGTATTCAAGTGAAAAATGTGTCTATTCCCGTTAAAAAAAATGAAAAGTAACGCTTTCAATCAACATGATACCACATCAAATGGTATACCCTTATACTGGGTCATGCATTTTAAAATGTAACCATAAAAGGGAAATATTGATTTCCATTGGCTAGGATCAATGATCTATGATATTGAAAAGAAATGGAAACAGGTTCTGAGATGGTTATAAACATATACTGCACTGTAATAAATTTTCCTGTTCTGAGAGTGCAATACATTCTCAAACTCACTCCAAGAATGCAGTATACATTACATCATGGAAATTTAAATTTTCAGAGAAAATCAGGAGATGCAATTTATGCTGCAGAAGTATTTCAATGTAGAATCGTTGCCATATGGAAGAAGCGAATGATGAAAGGGCTGCAAAAACTAAAAAAGTCATATTACTGTATCACAAACAAATGTGACAAGAGTTTCAATCTTAATTTTAAAAAATACAGGCTCATGGAGGCAATGAATACAGCACTGATTTGGCGTGAAAAGAATGGTTTGAGCAATCAGTGTAACAATTTCATTGTTCAGAGTGTCATGCCAAGATTCATCCTCATTTTCAATTTAAAAAAAAAAAAAAACCCCCTCCAACCTACAGCTCCCAACCCGTGGGGAATGTTTTTCCGGGAGACAGGATTAAAACGTCAAAGGGCGCCAGCTGAAGGCGACCGTTTGGGTGACGGGGCTCCCCAGCAAAGTTCCCATCTGCTCCACACAGCCCTGTTCAGACCCAGGATGCGGGCTTCCGCTGTTTGTGTCAGCCCCGACTGCCTTGTTCCCCACGGAGCGTATCGCCTCCCCTCGCTCTTTTCCCTCTCCTGGTTTTCGAGCAGCCAGCCAGGTTCCCACTGCGGGGTATACTCCGAGTTATGGGACTTTCGCTGCTGTCGGCGGACAAAATAAAATTCGGCAAGAGCCTGATCTGCTACTGAGATATGGAAGATTGGCTAAGTTGAAAATTTGAGAACCACTGCTGTCAGAGGTGAAATTTCATTTTTTAAATTGTCAAAAAACTTCTAAACAAATTCAGAAGGACCCATCCATGAACATTTTGAATTAAACAGTGACTTTAGTGATATAATCTAGTCTTTTCACGGGGAAAAAAAACAGGAACGTAGGATTAGCGATATTCTGGGCATTCAACTGCTGAGTAAATGGGTTGACAAGGTGTTCAATTTGGCAGCAAGGGTACACTATACCAATTAGTCACACTTTACTTTCATGAAGCATCAAAATCACTGAGTATTCTCACAGAAGCTCTCATCTGCATAACAGGCAGTCTAGATTTCTAGAAGAACAGAAAAAATTTAGTGATTTTTTTTCAATGGTCAACACACCAGCTTTCGTAGATGAAAAAGTGACTTCAAGTCCAATTTCAAAACTTGAGCGATGCAATGTGACTCAATTATACAGTACAGTACAAGTCATATACCAAGTGCCTTTCCTGGTTCAGCAGTCGCGAAAGAGTTTATGGAAGAAGGACTTCGGATAGTAAAAGTCCCTGCAACATTGACTATGCCCACAGTGGATAGGAGGGCTCTCAGCAAGCCCGGAATGACGCGGCTGCGGGAGCCTCAGCGAAATGCGTTCGCGGATAGATGGGAAAATGCGTGGTCGCGGCTGCCAACCGCACTTCCTACCAACGCTCGCCCATTCCCGTCTGCGAATAAAAGCGGCAGACTTGCCGGTTTTTGGCCTGCTACTGGCAGACTGTTTCTCATGACTAAGCCTGAAGTCTCTTTTGGGCTCAAGGCAACAGCGCCACCTGCATTACTCCCGTACCACCCGACTGCTGGGTGGGCGTTTCCTAGGTGAGGGTACAGAATCGGGTGCTGGATGTACTATACTTCCATGCACAGTGGAGCCCCCCGATATGCGGACGCATTAATTTGTGCTTGGACTTTTTCTCTCTGTCAGAACATCCACATGTTGGATCCATTATCCCTTGAATATCTATGAGATTTACAGTACTTCACTGATTCTCATGTTGACCAAAAAATAAAAGTAAGTCCCCAAAATTGAAGCCTCAATTCGTTCAAGAGATATCAATCTTGAAAAATAAGTTGTCAAGTTTTAGTAGCTCAATACTGTATATTGCCCGTATAGTTGGGGCAGATTTTTTGAGTTTCCCAGTGTCTCCAAGTCAACTTGTCCATGGGGCATCTGGGTGTCAGGATTCCACTGCATATCAAGTACATGATTCAATCCATTTTCCAAAATATCTAGGAAACTTCAGTGAGAGGTCTGGGTAATACGTGGGGCCCAGAGGTGCAAGCACTTCTCAAACTGTGTCTATATACGTCAAAGCAACATGTTAGATCAAATTTTCCAATGAACTTCAACAGAAAATAATTGTGATCACTTCTCATGTTTTGGAAGATTTTTGAGAAAGTTTTCCGAACATTTTAATGAGTTTTCTTTCATTTTCAAACACAGAAAATAGCTGTGCCAATGAAAACCACACAGAATAGGTGTACTGCCAGCCATGCCGCCGGCATATGACCTGAACATTGCATATTGACCAACATTAGTTGAGGCATACAGATTCAATTCATTTATATCACAGTGCAGTACTGTACATTCCCAATCTTTTTCCGAACTTCTGCAGCCAAAATACGATTATTTACACTAAAAAGTATTTACCAAGCTTCTCATAAAGACCAAAGTGAAAGATATTTATTTTTAACAAGACCTTCATTCTTTCAAACCTTGGCATTATCATTAATTGAGGCTCATTTTGGTTAAACCAAAGATAACTTTTATGTAGCCTGAGAATTCAAGTAAAAAAACTGCGCAGCTTTGAACTTTGTTTTGGACAAACCCAATTTCAACTGTATGGAAGGAACGAAAATGGAGTTGCAGAATTGTGGGCAACGTTTTCTGAAAAAAAAAAATTGCTTGTAGTCAGAGAGAATGAAATCTGAAAATTTTTGGAACATTGCTATTTGCACCAGGTTTGGTTTTTTAAATAGTTGAGTCCTCAGACAGCCCATCTTTAAAAAAATTTCTGTCTCTGCTGCTCTCCGAATGAATCGAAGACGCATCAACAAATTAAAAGCACTGCTCCAGGTGCCTGATATTCCAGCAGATGTCAGCCCTTCAGAAATCCCTTTATGCTGTCCGTGATGTACAGTATACAGCAAGGAACATTCACCGGCTGGTCAACATTTCGAAATCGCTCCTCGAATACCGTACTGCCCGTACAGTGGGCAAGAGACTCAAGGACTGGTCATTCCAGGCGTTGCGAGAGCGTCACTATTGCAGTTTTTTTCTGTCGGAAACTATTTTTTTCGTTCCGTTCCTCGTTCTTCGCTTCTACCCTGGCTTCGCCTTTCAGCCACAGAGAGAAGCTCCCACGAGGATATGTACAGTACTGTACTGCACACGCCATCCGCCGCACGCGTTTTTTGTCCGGCCTGGTTTCGCGGCGGAATGGAATCCCGCTTCACCTTCGCTCAGGCTTTTTTCCTCTCCACCCCCGTGTCCCTCTGTCCGTCCATCATCTATCCATATCTGCCTTTCTCCCCCTCCCCCTCAACTATCGCTCCCTTCCTCTGAACGTGAACACGTTCGGCCCGTCTTATCCACTACCTCCCACAGCACTCGCTCCCTCGCTCTCACTTCATTCTCTCATGTGAGGCACGCACGAACGAAGCACGTCCCGTACATACAGGCTTCGCTCATCCGCAGCCTGGTTTTTTTTTCTTCTGCCCCGGCCGCCTGTCCGCCGCGCTTGGGTGGATTTCTAACCCAGCTCTTTGCCTTTCACTCGCGAGTTCCGCCTCTGAGCGGATTTTCTGGGTCTGCTTTTTCAAAAAAAATAATTTATTGAAGATTTTATATTTGAGCTTGGATTACGAAAAATTTGACGAATTTTATGTGTGGATTGATCATGATGTGGGCTGCACCCCGTCATCCGGCCCTCAGAAAAAAGGGGGTTCTTAGCGATGTTTGTAAAATAAATGAGAAAAAAAAAACTGCTGTGTTTATCAAGAATATACAGTAGTTTTGTATACTGTATATAGCTATTATATACTGGTAAACTCTATCTACGACAATCTTGTCTACAAGGATTATATCTTAAAAAAAAATAATGTTTTGCGGTCCCATAGGATTCTTTCCCCATGTTGTGGAGGTTCTCTATTATGAAATTCTCACTACTGAATAATGAATTTTTTCTGGTCCCTTGAGTTTTGTTGTACAGAGAGCCCACCTGCATAGGTTACAACCTGATTTTAGGCTGGCATTTTAGCAGGCAAAAAAATGCTTCTGTTCAAGAACATAATTTAATAACGCAAGCTTTGAGTCTGGGAGTGGAGGGGGGGGGGGGGGGGGGGGTTAGTATATCACTGCATCGCACATAGCTAGTGAACCCATTTCTTGGTGTGCTCTACAATGCATCCTCAAGATAAAAAAAGAGTACAACATAACTTGAGAAACATTTCAGACAATAAGGGGGATAACAACAGAAAAGTATTTCCTCTCTCAGCAAATGGGTGATGGAGAATCATCAACAACCAACTACAGTTGCATGATCTACAATTCTCTACAACCTTAAATCGAACAGCTTTAAAAAGGGGACGATGTTCCACATCAAAGAAAAAAAACTCTGAGTCACACTCAGAAGTCAGGACCAGTCACTGTATGGAAACTAAATCTTGAGAATTATTTACTGGAGTAGAAAAAAAATTAACATGGCCAGAATTTACAAGAAGGAAGTATGTACAGTTCTTTCTACACACTAAACTATGATCCAGATTTGATTCATTTTACAATTAGCGTCACAAACTTGCGGATTTCTGTTTATTTCAGACGATGATCAGCCGGGATTTAAATTGAGTTTTAAAATACACAGAATAACATTTGCACGGTGCGGGTGCAGGAATTATTGTTTATACTGTATTTTGCCTAAAATATGTGCATCAGTAAAACAAATAAGGTTGATCTGAGAAACTCATATACTGATTTGAGGACAAAAATAATGTAAGTATAGACAGTACTGTACGTGGAACGTCAAATGCACACTACTAATAAGATTGTGGTGGTTTTACACATCTTGTTTCTGATATAGCTTGCTGTTGAAAAGCTCAACCAGAGGCTGAATTTTATATTCGTTATATTGAGTGGGTGAGCAAGTACTGTGGTTTTATGGACACTTTGTGAAGGTCATTTGGTGATATAGTCGTATGTGGTTGACATCAAAGTACTTGTTTCCTCCAACTTGTCTCGTGGATTCATATATGCATGAGTGCTTACATCATGAGCAATAACATGCTAGTTTATTTGAGCAATAACATGCTAGTTTATTTGAGCAATAACATGCTAGTTTATTTGAGCAGGATGCTAGCATGCAAAAAATGGTCCAAAGAACTAAGATAAATTGGCAGCAAGCATTTACATGAAAATATGACAGGATATTTAGTAGTGGGGATGTTCTGGTTCTGGTTGCAAATGCGATCAAAAAATATTTTCAGTCCTGATCACAAAACGTTCAAATTTGTTACATCTGGCCACGCCTCACAATTCAGTCAGCCTTAATTATACTCCACTGAATAATTTCACGATCTATTGCTTCAATCAAGTTTTAAAAAATGATCATAATTAGTATAGTATGAAGAATAGTTTCAAATGCATTGCTTTACTACTGCAGAGAAATTGAAAAACAGTTTGGTTGCTGGATCAACAAAAGGTATCCCATATCATATTAGTGCATCAGTAAGCTAAAATGCACCCTCACTGATGCTCCAATGATTTATGCTTATACAGTACTGGCTGAAAGGGCTCATTTTTCACTTATTTTTCCTAGATACCCCAATTTAAATTAATTCAATATTTCAGGGGGAAAGTGAGAAGAAGGAAACTAATAGAAGTGCTCTGATTCTGAAACAAGAGTATGTGGGATATTGGAACAACTTCAAAAAGTCGAATAAAGACAACATACTGTATTAGATTCAGTCAATACAGGCTGCGCAAGATGTCCTGATCCACTCGCCATGTTTGCTGTGGAAAATTCCCAAAGTTTATAATTTGAATAAAAATATCTAAAATATACGCGTCTCTCTTCAATTTTTGAAAATGTTATAAGATTTGAATGGTTCGTACTAAATACACAATGCACCCAGTGCAGAATTGGGCACACTCACCAAGGAAACGCCCACCGGACATAGCGGTGGCATGGGAGTAATACAGGTGGCGCTGATACCTCAAGCCCAGTGAGACTTTTAGGATTATCATTTTTTTCTTCCTAGTTACGAGAGACAGTCAGACTGGCTCAGGTAAATACTAACTCCGGTAAGTCTGCCGCTTTTATTCGCAGTCGGGAATGGGCGAGCGTTGGTAGGAAGTGCGGTTGGCAGCCGCGACCACGCATTTTCCCATCTATCCGCGAACGCATTTCGCTGAAGGCTCCCGCAGCCGCGTCATTCCCGGCTCGCTGAGAGCTCTCCTATCCACTGTGGGCATAGTCAATGTTGCAGGGACTTTTACTATCCGAAGTCCTTCTTCCATAAACTCTTTCGCGACTGCTGAACCAGGAAATGCACTCGGTGTATGACTTGTAAAAATAAATCACGTTGCATCACAATGAGTTTTGAAATTGGACTTGAAGTCAGTTTTTCATCTGCAAAAGCTGATGGGATGGTCATTGAAAAAATACATCACAAAAATAATGCTGTTCTTCTAGTAGACTGTTTTTTCCGCAGATAGAGCTTCGGTGGAAATTCTCATTAGACTTTCTAACTTATTGTACAGTGAAATACACCTGGATTGTGATAAAGTTGGTTTGTGCTGGACAGCTGTAATTCATTGGGCATGAAACAATTTCCCCTTCGGGATGACTCACCATCATGTTTCATTCAAAATCATGCCCTACAAAAATACTTTTACTCATCAGAAAGTTACTAAACCTCATGTATCAATTTCACTTCAAGCATTCATCAACCTTGGAAACAAGTTGGCTTCATCTTAGGTAGAAAATTACTGAAATCAGCATTCCTACATAAATTGATGCAAAATATGATACTGTAGCAAGGGTACATCTTAGCACATTGACTTAACAAAGGTCTTGGAATGTGTGCGAGAAAGCTGGAGGGTGATAATCTTTGTCGTTGGGCTGGTCAGGTGCAAGTACCCCTTTCACTCATACTCAGACCCGATGGCCATTGAAAATAGTCACAACGCTTCCAGCATAGCATATCTCGAGACTTTCCAGAAGCATTTCTATAATTTTTGTTGCCATATGTGGATGATTTCCAGATCCCTGGAGTACTCCTTCCCACATACGCTTCACCCTGTCCGCGCAGACTGACTATTGCGCACCGACTGACAGGTTCGCGGGCTTCCTTGGGCATCCCTCTCTCTCCGGGTCAGCGCGCAGTCCCCGATAGGAGCCGTAGAATCCTTCAGACGCCACCCTCCCATTTCGTCCTGCCGCGCGAGTTTCACATCAATTCTACGGGATGGGGGGAGGAGCGGAGAAGGCGCACCAGGTTTTAGCTTTCTTCGCCTTCCGCGTTAGCGCCGGGGTCTCGCGCGTCAGGGCTTTAGCTTAGCGTCGGCTGACGCTCTCAGCGGGAGGGTGGGTGAGCTAGAAGCCGGGAGTGACAGGTCGTGCATACGGTTCCCCGCGAGGGAATGCTGGCCCCCATCGCGAAAGGCTCCAACGAAGCGAGGCAGGGAGTGGGAGGGAAAACGCGGACGGTTGGCGTTTCGTTGCGGAGGGCTTCGCAGTCAGGGACATCTTGCGGAACGATTCTGAGCTCGGGAAAGCGACTGCACTGCATCTGAGTGAAAAACCCCTCTTGGAATTCGTTCCTGATACTATATACAATACGATATTCCGTTACACCTGGGCACTGACTTCCTTAGCGCCGAATCCTCCCTTTCAGCGGGGTGTGCATATTGAACCTGCGTTGGTGTGAGCGTCAGCAGCGGTGTCGTGTCGGTGGTGCATTTTGGTCTCAGAGGAAATAGCTTTCTCGTTGTTGTTGCTATGGCATCTGCGGTGAATTGGCTCGATTCTCGGGCTTTTTTCGATCAAGCCAATTCGGCGCAATTCGAGCACGTGTTGTCGAGGTACAAGGAAGCCTTGCAGCACAAGTGTGAGACGAAGAGGAAACCCGCCGAGCTTCAGAAACTCGACACTTGGTGAGTAGAAGACGAGATCTCGGATATCCCGAATTTACCAGAAATTTTCGAGGTATTCCGTTCCAAACTTTTTTAAAACAGCGTTTACCAAGAATGCTGCTCAAAGTAATATTCCTTCCGAATCCCAAGTCTCGAATCTGTTTCAGCGTATGAATTTTGATGATACCGTTCGCGAGTGATTTGACGACAAAAGGGGATTTACTCTGAATAACGAGGGTTAATTAATGACAGCATTGTTTTCGTTGGGGATTATTTTTATTATTCCTCTGAGAATGTGTGAAGATTCAGTTGAATGAAAATCTACACACATCGGCAGAGAATCGATACGCAAATCCCCAATGACCAACAGGAAGTTGGCAAACCTTATTGCTGTTGAACTTGAGATTGGATCAAATACGAAATTTCCGAATACTGCATATGTTTGTTGAATGAAGAAGTCTGGGAGAATGGTAAATGAGCGTTTTTCGAATGGGTAAATATTTTTGTCCGTGAGTTGTTGAGGACTAGATAATTATTTTTCAAAATTACCTGTACTGTGCGTTTCATATTTTTATTAGGACACAGAAAATGCTTAGATATCCACGCTGACTTATACTCAGGGTGCGGAGCTAGGGTGATCACATACGTTGAAGCACTGCTGAGTCTGAAGTCTTCGGATGTAGGATGTGGTCAAGTTGAGTAATTTCAATTGAAATTCGGCTGGAGTATTACTGAATAACCCGAATTTAACTTGAACGCATAATTGCTTCATCTAACACACCGCCATTTTGCATCTCAAGCGGGAGATTGAAGGAACTCTTGTAACTGAAACCAAGATAAATTATGAAGCGATCTAAAAATTTTAGGATATGACTTTTTCGAAAAACAAATTGCGAACGAATGAAATTCTGATCTTTACGATAAGAAAAACAAAAACAAAGATTATGGGAATCTTGCTTTTCCTTTTTCATGCTTATTTAGACCTTATCATAGTCATTTTTTAAATTGGAGTGCTGTAAATATGGTTTTTACCCGCCCCCCTAAAAATTTCTTAATGAATCTAAGAGCTGTTTTTACTGGGACTTGGATAAATTGATGTGTGAAGTGTTTTCTTCTTTTGTCAAAGAACGCGTTATTTTGTGCGACTTCTTTGATCCATTCTGAGTTAAATGGAAGAAAAAAGCTAACGCTCCACTATTTTTTTTACACAATATGAAAAAGTACACCATCAATGAAGCGTAAATAATTTGGTAAATTTTTCAGAAATTGCTATGCCCAAGTTTCCTTGCACCAGCATTACCCGTAACGCGTGGAAACCTTATGGTGCCTCACACCAGACCATTCTCTGATGAATGGTATATCTTCCTAGAGGAAATGTTCGATTCATGCCACTTACAGGGTACCAACCATCACTTACAAATCTCACTTGGACTGAGAACGTATAACTGTAAAAGTTTCGGGTCTAATTACAATTCTACGAACGACATTAACTTGACATTCAACTGCCTGTTGAGCATTTGGGTGACTTTTTCATTACACATTTGTAAGTAATTACGGTTATTTCATGAATTTAGGTCATTTTAATTAATTCAATTCCCACTGTTTCTTCTTCTTAGACTAGCTACTGATGTAAGTTGATCATTCTTTACCGATATGCACCGATCTGCGAAAGTTACTGAAAGTAGAACTCATTTTGCTGCTGTAATTCCGCAAAAAACGATAAGTGATTGTTGTAAGAATACTCCTCTAATACTGCATAATTTTTTAATATTCAGGCTGTTCACGCACTACTTTCATGGCACACTATAAAAGCCATCTCTAAAACGTAAAATAATGTACAGTACTGTACTGTGTACAGTGGTGACCACGAGCTTCGGACACAGTTCGTTACTCAGATGCGTCCGGATGTCGATATACAGATTTGATAATCTTTATTGATGCCGTGTATAACCGGACCTTGAAGAAAATGTCTCGGATATCAAAGAGGAATTTTTTTTTTAATTTCAAATGGCCCAGAAACGTCGGGGTCTCATAGCACTGCTGAAGCCCCCCGAACTCCCCCTACACAAAGAGAGCACGTGTTTCCTTCCTCCCAACAACTTCATTATTCTCATCAATGCCAGTAGCCGGCACAAAACCACGTGGTCGCCGGCACACACAGGGGGGTGGAGAGAAAGAGAAGAAGAAGAAACGGAGGAGAGGGGGGGGTGGTGGTTGGGTGAGGGCAAGGTTGAGACGAGTCTGGGCATGTGATACGGTCGTAAATATTAAACTAATTGTAAAACGGTTTGTAACGACGAGACGCCGCGCGGGAGTGTTGGCATGGCGATGGTGATGGTAGTGGGGAGAGATGGGAGTGGGCGGCATTTCCCGCCTGCTGCAATCAGCTGATCCGATTCGGTACCGCATATGCATTTCCTTGTTGAACGCGCTTCAGGCACAGAGGAGCAGGGCGAGGAGGGGTGCAAGAAGAAGAAGAAGGGAAGGGAGACACACGTGCACATAAGAGGAGCCAGCCAGTCCATGTCAGTCAGTCAGTCACTCACACCCAGTCACTCACTTACTCACACAACACTCATTCATCAGACATGAGCTTTCATCCCCTGGCGGCGAGTCTGAGAATGTTTCGTACGGAACTGGGTGTAAGAAGAGTTGTTCTTGCGCGCCTGGTTTTAATTTTCCTACTTCTCGTTTATAACCGCTAGTCTATCAAAAAACCTATTTTGATTTCAGGAGGAATATCTGGGTGGGTCGTTCATTTATATTATTTTTTGTTGGATGAGAAAACCCAAAGATGAGCAAACCCGAATTTATTATGCAACATTAGATACTGAGGTCTATTCGGGGGCCTGGGGTGTTTTCAACAACCGTGCCAACACTTCCCCGGGATACCTTGGGATGCTTCCGAGAACAGTGCCAACTGTTCCCCCCTCGGATTGCTGGAAATACCCTCACATGTTGGACCGTTTTCGATGCAAAATACTGTACATTTCTGGATGGGTTGTGCTACGGTTAAATCTCGTTACAACGTATTTCCAGAAACCTTTAAAACATTTCTTATAAAAAATAATCATAAGGATGTTTACCATGAAAAACTGAAATATTTTTCACAAATGAAGCACTAAATTATTAAAATCTGAGTTTTTCTCTGGCCGTACCAGAAAATCAGACATACATTACAAAATGTAACATCAATATACTGTAGGCAGTGTAGGACAACAAAAAGGTACTCCAGAAGCCGTAAAAAGTTCCTCTAAAAAAAATTACCTCAATCTCTACCAGATTTTCACATTGGAGTAATGCAGGTGGACTCTTTCTCTACAACGATTTTCTGGGTACAACAATGTTTTGGTCCCACAGGACTCTCTTCCTGTGCTACAGGGGTCCTCTGCTCACTGTTACAAATTTTTTTGGTTATTTGATTTTTTTAGTGAGAGGGCACCTGTACACAATTAATTTTCATTGATTTTTTTTCTACATTGGGCGCCAAAGGGGGTGATTGAGAAAGACAGTTTCAATAGAGGGAGCATAGTTCTAGTTAGATACAGTCAAATGTCTCAAAGTCAAATTTCAAGGGTTCAGCAAATTGCAAGTTGAAAAAGGTTTTGAATTATGGAAAACAAGCATTTTTGTTGCATTGAAGATGGAAAAATTGCAGGAGATTGTGAATGGTGACATTCTGGGCCTTAAATTGCTTCTCAGATGAGCTGACAGTATGTTGAACTTGAAGTCAAGGGTTCATTTGCCCAATGAGTCTCACACTTCCTTCCAAAACACATCTAGTTCCTTTCTCCATTGCTTTACTTTTCCATCTGTCAAGAAAATAATAGCCAAATTGCCCCAGAAAATTTGAGTGATTGAGGTTTGCTGGGAAAAGCCTTTGAGGGGGAGAGGTTTCTAATGAATTGTTTCTAAGGGAATTCAGTCAGGGACTTGAAGAAAATTCGGCTTTGTGGGAAACAGTGGAACAACAGCAAAAAAAAAACCCTGTAATGCTTCTTGAAACTTATTCAGGATACTTACATATCATGGATGCCTTAAAAGTCGAAAGAGAAATTTCAATACAGTTTATGCAACCGGCGATTAATGATCTGATGAGAGCTCTGCCCACTCCGTTAAGAGTTGCGTGCTGACGCGCGAAACACCCACCAATTTCCTCCGTGTGTGGCATAATTTGCTGACAAGGACTTGATAGCTAGATGGGCCAATTTGTGCCAAAAGCCTTTCCTTCTTATCCAGCAAAGATTTATCTTCATTAATGAGGAAGATAAACAAGGGCTCTCTAAGCTTTCCTTTCATGAGCTTGAGTGGATAGACGGGAGAGGACAGAGAAAGGAACATGGTAGTCAGACAATGAACATTTTCAGAAGTGGGATCCATTGTGTTTCTCTTGGATGTATTCCCTCGAGATCTGTCACTGTTTTTTGGCTACTGGTTTTCTCCAAGGCATTGACATTTTTGTTCTGTTGCTTACCCAGTTCACAGTGACCTTTTTGAAATGAGCAAATGTTTTCATTATACAGTGATTCAAATTAAGATGTAATCTGAAGGGACAAAGGTTCATGTATGGCAACTTACCTGCGAGTTTCTACCGAATTCTGTCGGGGAATGTGAAAAAATATTGTAATGATTTTGGATTGAAAAAATGGAACATATTAGACAGCATGACTGGGGATATCAGTTACAATATTACAAAAGACAGATGCACAGGACATCTTCAAATAAGTCCTGATACGGTTAACAGAGCTCTGTTGGATTTGTACTGAAATCACTTTTTTAAATTTTTAATGCAACCTTCAACAGGAATAGGGGCGATTTCGGATGTTCACTGTAATTGGTGCTGTGGGGTTTGAGTCAAAATTCGTGTTATACAGTACTCATATTTCAGGAATTTGGAAGTAAAGAAAAAAGTACTTATAGGAAGAACAGCATTGATTACTGTACAATTCCAGGAATTATCGGCTACTGTATTTTCTTATTTATAATAAGCGCAGGATTCAAAGTGGCCTGCCACAGCTCCCCCCCCCCCCCCCCAATTCCCAATATCCTCAGTCAAAAAGTTCTTTAATTTCTGTTGCGCTAGGTTTCAGAAAGTTGAAGGGTTCCAGCTTTGGTCAACATTTTTGTTACCTTCCTATTTTATTATTTAAAAAGGCATAAGAAAATCATGTTTAAGAAGTACAGCATTAATTATTGTACAAAATTCTAAAAATTATGTCACTGCATTCAATTACTATAATGCATGCTGGATTCAAAGGCCTGTAACATCTTTCTCCCTCCCCTCAAACTTCCAATATCCTCAGCCAAAAGGTTCTTTAGTATCTATTGTGCCAGCTTGCAGAAAGCTGAAGGGTTCCAGTTCTGGTGCTCAATGGTTCCAGGTGTGTTTGGGAGGATGCACACACACAGCCATACAGACAGGCAGGCAGGCATGCACCTCTTAGGGGGCGGGTAGGGAAAGGCAAAAACTGGGTGGACAAGGAATAGGGACGGGGAGGTATGCTGTGTTCAGGGATCATTGCCCTGGCTTTCCCTCCCGCCTCACTTGCTGAGGAGGACACCCAACTCATGCGCCTTCGTAGATTGTTGCGTTACCTATCGACCACTTCTCTAACTCGAGCGTTAGCTTCAAATTTAGACCACTAGATGTCGTGTCGTATTGCCAAGAGTTATATCGATCGCGTTTCCCGTTTTTTCGTTTAGGTTCCAAGAAGAACTGCCAAGGATTCTCGAGACACGAAAGCCAGACATTTTCTTTACTCACGACGAACTGGTTCAAGCCATCAAATGGAAACTCGCTGTAAGTTATCGTTGCAAAAGAGAGAGAGAGTTCTATCACAGCTCAGCCGGAATAACCAGACTTCCATTTTTCCCCAGAGAGGAAAATTCCGCCCCAAGCTGAAGGAACTAGTTCAAATGAACACCCCCAGGGTTGTGATGGTGGAGACAAAGAAGGCTTGGCGGCAGTTGACTAAGAAGAATGTTAAGAGCGCTATCACAGCTTTGAGTAACCTCAAGGGCGTCGGTCCTGCTTTTGCCTCAGGCGAGTAGATGTCTCTCTTCGTCATTTCGAAATAGTTCTTGCTGTATAAAAATAAATTCATATTTCCTTCTTCTTTACAGCTGTGCTTAGTGTGATGGCACCTGAAAAAGTTCCTTTCATGGCTGATGAATGTCTCCTGGCAATCAATAAGGGAGAAGCTTTGGATTACTCCATGAACGAGTTCATGCAATATTTGGATAACGTGGAGAAATTGTGTGAAAGGCTCAATGCAGGTGAGTGAGCATAATACGAAAAAAAAATTCTTACATCCTCTCTGAATAGAAAATCCAGAAATGTGTACATTAATCACGAGCACAAATATCTTGCAAACCATATACTGTACCGACACTTTTGTGATCACAGTACTGTATAGTCCGTTAGAAGCAATTTTGGCACAATTCTTTTTATATCCTGGACTTCTCGTGTGCCAAGAATTTTTTCAACTTCTGAAAAAGCTGCCTTGTCAGTTACGCGAATTTCAACTGTAGGTTAAGAATAATGCCAAGTGATTATTTACACATCTTTTGGTTTCATAATATATTGACCTTACTCAGAAATGTTCGTCAGTGGAAACTGAAAATTACAAAATAAAATTCGAGGTTAATTCCAAAACCTCTTCGTGGGTCAGAGAATTTTAATGGACTCCTTATACAATGACAGTTTCCGTATGACTTGCGAAAAGTTCCCCCTCGTCACTAAAAGGGTCTTCTCAAATATGTTTGCCAAGTCACGCGCAAACTGCGTTCGCAAATGGCGGTATCCAAACTCTCCGAGTTCATGATTCGTTTTTCTAAACATCTTGGAACATAACCGCTTCATCACGGATTAGAAAAACGCGTTCCATTTTTTTTATCGTTTCAAGAAAATTGATTGACGATGACCTCTTTCTTAATCTGTTAGAAAAACCCGACTTTTGGACGCCCCACAAAGTCGAGCTTGCCCTCTGGTCGCACTATATCTTGTCAGAGATGAACCCGGATTCGCTGGACAGTGTCGGGACTCTAACCTCAGGCAATGCCCTGCTAACGACTGAAGTCACGGAGTCGACCCACGATGACAAAGAACCCAAGAAAGTGTCAGAAGACGAAGACTCCCGTGGATCCCACGAAGAGCACATCGTTTCCTCGGGTGACGATGAGCTCTCCCGCGACTCGGCCGGGAAGGTGAGATCATTATCGATTTTGACGACGTCTGTGTATTGAATACCGTATTTAATTGGAGGAAGACACACACTCCAATTTTCAACCCGAAAATTTCGATGAAATCATATCCCCAAGTAAGATGCGCACCCTATTTTTAGTGACTGAGAAATTGCAAAAGTTTTAAAATAAAGAGGCACCAGAATGCAAATTCGAACATGCGTTTAACCTGAATTCAATGTCAGTGAGACCCCGACATGCAGACAATTCGGAACATACGGACCATGTCTCGTGACAGAGACACTTCCCATTATTTACCAGAAAATTGAAAGTTTTTATTTAACGAAAACGTTGATATCCCTTGATTGAATCAAGCTGTTTATTTTCACAAAAATTAAAAATACAAGTTGAGGAGACCAATTTCTATTCAATTTCAATCCTAATTTTTGATGAACAAGGGAAGTTTGCATTGCAGTACATGGGAAAACGTGATCCAACACGTGGACGTTTTAAAATAGGGACAAGGTCCGAGCACCAATTACGCGTCCGCATCTCTTTTTTCTATTGTTTCGAGTTGAAAAAAATCCTTCTCAAACATTTCTTATTACATTCAACTATGACACACAACCCCTTTTGCTTCTCAAACTCGAGAAAAAAAGGTGCAGGTGGTACTCAAGTACGGTAAATACGGTAACGGAGCTCAAGCGAAAAAAAACGAACTTGGGACAAGTCTTGTCAGGATTTTTTTTTCATTTTTGAGGATTTTGGTCAACCCCAGAATCGGCTGTTTTAATTCAAAATGTTGTCATAATTATGCGTACTACAGATGGACAGTCCGAGAGTGACCGAGTGTCACCCTGAAAGCTGCGATGCGTCCAACGACAGTGGCGTTAAGATGATGCAAGATGTCGCCGCTGCGGATTCCTGCGACTCAGCTCCGTCCTTCGACGAGCCACAAGCAAAAAAGATTCGCTTAGAACCGACTCCAGCGACCTCTGACGAGAAAGTTGAATGATTGAAGAAATTATGTCTCGAGTACGACTGCTGGCAGGAAGAGACACTCTTCTCTCTCTCTTTCAGGCTTATCGTTTAGAAAGAAAGAAAAAGAGAAGAAAGGTTTCGAAATGGAAAAAAAATTTAGGCGATGTGGGGTTTTAAATGAGAAATGAATTTAAGAAACGAAAAGGAAGATTTTAATCGTTCCGTCTTGTCTTCACGACGGTTCGAACCGAGCAAAAATGGCGGGAGGAAGGAGAAAAAAAAAAAAAGAAGCATGTTCGGATCCCAAAGATGTCATTTGTTTCGTTCCGTAGACAATTTTCGCAGTAGGAGGAAAATATTTTTTTCTTTTTTTGATCATTTACGCTTTGTTTTTCTAAGGGAAAATGTTCACGGTGTATATTTTCAGAAAAGGAAGGAAAAATAATAGGCGAGAATCTTTGTTTTATCCATAGGGTAGTTTTGAGGTGGAAGAAAAGAATATGCGCTGAATCGGTTCTTCTCACCAAAAAAACTGAAAACAAAACGTTCCTTCTTTCTTTTTCCTTATAAGGTGTTGGCAGTAAGAAAATCGAAGATTTGATGTCCCTTCCCTTACTTTTTACTCAGAGTTCAAGCGCTTTTATTTATCAATGAGGCTGCAGAAAAGTTATGTTCAGATTTCATTGTTGTTTTTTTTTTTTTTGCTGGATTTTTTCCTTCCTCGCGGAAGATTTTGAGAATGAGAAATGAAAGTGACTGATGGTGTGAAGGATCTTTTTTTGGTGAAGATTATCGTTTGTGACGTGTGAGGGGAATGGAAGAAAAAGAAAGAATCAGATGTTCGCAAAAGTCTCGTCTATTATTCTCACTAAGAAAAACGCAAAAGCATAGTTTCTGAAACATAACCATGCTTGAGATAATTTTACTCTGGATTCCGAGTCGCCGGAATATTTATGGGCGCCTCAGGGATTCTTCGCATATACAATTTCGAAGCCCATGTCAATTTCAGAACACTACCCATGAGTTATCTGAATGTACCAACTGGCAAATCCCTCTTGATAAGACGCTTTCTTATCTCGGAAAGAACAGTCATATGAAGGAAGGTATGATTTCAAAAGAAGCCAAGAAGTTATCAAGTGCATGGAGAGGGGGTCATGGGGTAAAGTAAAGAATGCGGTGCCTTGAAATATGCAGGCAATATCGCGTCGGGTCTTTTTATATTTAGAAGACTTATATTTCATTACTTTCCAGTACTTTATTTGCATCGTTGAGTACTAAAAGGTATGCTTTTCCTTTCATCAATGACTGACCAGTGATCACACAGACTAAGGCACCTACAGACATAAAATCCAGAACTGAATTTTCCATTAAAAAAAACTCCAAATCTAACAGGAACTGTGCAATTCCTGGGCAATGCTCAGCATAGTTTTAGGGAAATTTTCAGGGAAGAAGTGGCATTAAACTATCTCTTGATTATCTGAAAAATAAGAAGCTTCAAACCTCAGATAAGAAAACGCATCATCAGCACGTTCCTTAGTTAGGGGAATCAGATAAGCAAAATTCGGTAATCTAACATTCCGAAGACTTGATTGCAACGTCAAAAATGCAAAAAGTACATCCTAATGCGCCCATGAATACGTGTCGGATCTAGTGCAAATTGAGACAGGGCAAATTCAAAAAAGGGAAAATCTGAGACAGAAACTTTTGGAGACAGGGACAATTTGAGACAGGTACATTTTGAGACAGAGAGAATTTGAGATAAAGACTATTTGAGACAGAGGTACTTTCAAAATGACTTTCCTGTGTTTCCCCCTACTACCATATGTCGATTAAGGTTTGAAAAGGAATAAAAAGTGCACTACTTGGAAAAAATGTATGGTAATTTATTTTCCATCAGACAAATAATTAAGACAATAAATAGAAAAATATTTGAACCAATGCAGCAATTGGGATTCTTCTTCAATTTTGCCCTTAATAAGGCTTCTATTATTATAAAAGCCCTATTCCCTCTTATAGTTCTTGATATCGAAATGCAAGAAATTAAGTGTAAAAAAAATGTTGGGCACATAGTTGGGGGGGGAGACCTGGAAAAACCAGAAAATTGTGCGTAAAGGAAAAATATTTTGCATGGAGAGTTGCTTTGGGACTTTCTCAAATTATCTCTGATATTTTCCCTGTCTTAAATGTTCTGTCTCGATTTTTCCAGCCTTAAATTGTCTGTCTCAATTTGTCCGTAGCCCATACGGGTCACGTACAAATACATGACTGGGATGTTTTCTGATGTTTCGAATCATATTTTTAGAGCTTTGGTTATAACTTAGAAAATGGCGACGACCGTGTATAACTACTGTATATCCGTATACAGTAACCCTTATCTGGCTCAGCACGTGATCACTTCCGAGCACATAGTCAGACTGCGTCACATGCTCAGAGCAAGCTTCAGATAAGAGGCTCGAGTAAGAAAATTGAAACGCATACATCATCATTCAGTTCATGCACTAATTGCGCTGAGTGAATTCATATAATTTTGATCTTGTGTCCAGTGCAATAATTTGTAATAAAGGGGAGAAACATAATGAACGAAGAGAAGCCACCACCATATTTCAGCGGACCTTATGGAGCGACCGGAACTAATGGTGAGTATTCAGTATCTACATGAATACATCAGTGATTTGACATTCCACCCCTTTTTATTCCCACTTCAATTTTTTTAAACCTCGGTGTTTTTTATTTTGCACTTCGGAATGCCCTCCTGCGGGATGTTGATATGACCCGGATTCCAATTTCAGTGGAAGGGCGGAAGCACATTTTATTGTCAGAAGAATGCACACGCTCTGAATATTTTCCTTGTCCGTAAAATATTTTCAGAATTTGAATGAAACTCATATATTTTTAACGTCAGATATTTAAGCACATGCTGGTAGAAAAAAACTCAATACAGTTTTCACAAAAATCATCAAAAGTTTGCATGCAGAAATTGTATACAAAATTTATACCCATCCATCAATTTATGCATTTTCTGGGATTCAAAAATTGGTATTTGCTTCAATATGAACGATAAAATAATTATGCAAGGGAGGCTCATTCATCAGAATGAGAATCCCAATGCAATTCACTTGAAAAACTGCCACCAGGCCAATCAGGAGGAGACCTTTCCACGCATCAGGACCCATGTCACAAATTGCTGCTGCTATGGTAGATTATCTTTTATTTGATTTTTCTAAATGCAATGCTCTCAATGAGATTGAGCTTGGGAAGGAACTGCTGATTAATGTGAAAGAATACAGTGGTGGGCTCAAATAAACAAACAAAAAACCAAATCTTTGGAAGGGAGTACATTCTTTTGAATATTCCTGTACTGCATTGTATCTGATTTCCCCAACCCAACGAGAAAATTAATGTTTACCTGAAGAATATGCATTGTTTTTAAATTGGCTTTTTATTGGGACAGTAGGCAATTTTAGATATGAACAATTGCGATCACACAATTATAATTTCCTGCCAGGTACAGTATTTCTGCCACGATATTTGATTCTACGGAAGGCTAGAAAGGGTTCTCTTTGCCCTATGTGATTAAGAACTGTCGGAACACTTACAATTTTTCAGAAGTTTTTTATAGTAATTTGTCTCAAACAAACAGTTTTCCCGGAGCATCAATTTTTTAATCCTTTAAAAATTTAAATTACGGATCGCAACTCAAACTATTGTTTTTTATTTATTTAAATTTGCTTCAATTTCCGCATTGTAACAGCATTATAAATAAATTCGGATTTAGAACCGATTTTGGAAGGTACTGTATCTGCAGTTTTGCTGCTTTGTTTCCTGAATTTCCAAAGAACACATGATGCATTCAAAAACTTGTTTAGGCGGTCCCATTGAACTTTCACCAATACGAATTTTACATGATGCACCACACTGCACAACAAATACACGAGGCACTATTGTACTGTACTGTACACTTGTACAGCATATAGGAAAAGGTTTCCCAGTGCCTCTGCTTCTGGGTCGTCCACATCAACAGCCATGAACTCCTACACCCCCATCTCTTACCAATATGCCATACGAGGGTTCTAACAAAAGTTATCGGAATGAAAATGAAGATGGCGTCTAATTGAGCTGGAAAAAAATTATTCTTTAGGGCAACCATATTCTTTGGCACAAAAAAAAATCAGCCCAGTTTGACAATTTTTTTCAATTTTTTGCAAAATTTACCCTGGCAGAGTTTTGCTATACACTCAACAGATGAGGCACCCTTCCTGCAGCTTTTTTTTTTTTTTTGTGGCCCAGTTTCCCCCTCAGAATTCTTGAAATCAACTTGGCATTTTCTCTAAGGGTTGCCTCCAGGTCATCTAAGGCAATTCCGCCATTTTCATCAACAGCCGCTGTCACAGCCGCCGCCGTCACAGCCGCCAAAGTGGCGGCCACTTTTTTTCCAGCTCAAAAGTGGCGGCTGTGACGGCGGCTGTCGATGAAAATGGCGGAATTGCCTTAGATGACCTGGAGGCAACCCTTAGAGAAAATGCCAAGTTGATTTCAAGAATTCTGAGGGGGAAACTGGGCCACAAAAAAAAAAAAAAAGCTGCAGGAAGGGTGCCTCATCTGTTGAGTGTATAGCAAAACTCTGCCAGGGTAAATTTTGAAAAAAATTGAAAAAAATTGTCAAACTGGGCTGATTTTTTTTGTGCCAAAGAATATGGTTGCCCTAAAGAATAATCTTTTTCCAGCTCAATTAGACGCCATCTTCATTTTCATTCCGAGAACTTTTGTTAGAACCCTCGTAGTATAGATACTGTAGAAAGCCGCGCTGCAGCAACACATACTAAGAGACAGAGAAATATAGGAACAAAATTGACCATCAGGAACTCCAGGGCTGTCTGGCGGGCAGGCAAACAAACACACACACACCCCAACACACGCACAACCCGAAAAAAAAACGCGGTCTCATCGGGAAGCATCGCACCTGTCCCGAAATGTGACGTAACAACTCCAAGGTTGGCGATTCCTTGCGGGCGGCGACTTATGGTGGGGACTCACTGGTCGGCCAAGTCTATGCTCAGACGCTCACTTATCGTATAGCCTTGTTGGCAATGCCCTTCAGTCGAAGAATTCGACGCAGTAAAACAAGACGTGATCCGGGATTCGTGTGTTGATCATATATATATAGGCGTTATTATTGACCTGGTCAGGTATATATTTTACTGAATTAGTGATACTGTACATTCGTCGGTGTTGCCCTAGTTGATGATGGGCTTCTGAAAAATAATTTGCTCCAGCACGGTCCACTATCCGCAAATCCTAACGACTCTGAGATGTATGGAATACTGTATTTTATTATCCTTACCGTACATCTGAAACCTCATGATGTGAAGTCCACTAAATGTGTGATGTGATTTATGTGAAGCTTTTACAGATGGACTCGCTCTACAACAACCTTGTCTAGAACGAATTTCCATTTGGTCTCATAGGATTCTCTCCCAGTGTCAACTGCTTCTCTACAACGCATTTCTCTCTACAATAATTTTTTTCTGGTCACTATACAGTTTTGTTTAAGGGAGAGTTCACCCGTATTTGAAATGTTTGATTGGTTCCAAATACGGTACATTAAAAATCATTCTCAAAAATTCATAAATAATTTTCTAGATGAATGTTTATTCAACATATATATGTGACTCAAAAGTACCCAGAAAACTATATGCTCTATATATTAAGAGTACAGTTCAGCACATGAAAAGTGCTTCCCTTTGATAAGAGCCCAATTTCCCATAGAGTAACATACATTTTATGGAAACCCCTTTCCATGCAGTTTACTATCTGAAGCAGGATTCATTATTTGAAGATAAAAAATCGACATTTCAGTTTCATTATAGAATAAAAAATAGCATTATGTGTCATATCTTGGGTTACATGCACTTCTTACTTACTGGTAAATGAACGGGAACTATATGTCATACCAACTTGACTTACTGTACCTAACTGGCCCAATGCATATTATCCAATCAAATATGTGTTTAATGTCTGTCATCAATTTACCCAATGCTAATACAACCTATTGCCAAACTTAACCAATGATGCCTATTTCATTCTATCTACCAAACCTAAATTTATAATGAAGCCACTGAAAATCAAACCCAAAATATGAAGCGCCAATACAGGCGGAATCTCTACAATGTAATGCAAGGGGAAAAATGCGTTATACCGGTATTTGTCGTAGAAAGAACTCATTCAAAATGGGGATGGAACCCTTTGGGACCAAACAATATTTGTTATACAGGGAACATTGCTGAGTCCAATTGTACAGCACTGCTTTTTTCAGGTACTGTATATGTGAACACCAAAGGATAAGTGACCATGCTGTCTATTTTTTTGAGCATTGAAAACCATTGAAAGTGCAGTAAGCTCTGTCTTCTGCTGAAGAAATGCAAACAATTATTACGGAGTACTCAAAAATATAGAAATACTGTACATGATATCAGCAAAGTTCAACTTCAGTTTACCCAAACTTTGTCATACTTTAATGACCAGTCACATAAAGAAGCACAAAACCTCACCTGAGAGGACTGTTTCTACAGTATGCTACAAATAAAATTATCCTAATTAGCCTGACCAAAAAAATGTACCTTCATACCAAATAGACGTATCAAAATATGTGAATATCTCAACTAATCCGATTGCACATACCTATCCTAAATGATCAAACCTATCCTAGTTTGTAATGAATTCAGTCACTTCATGTCTTAATTCCTCAGCAACTAATCCAAACACATCTGGATTCCTACCCAGCCTAACCTTTATGTCTTAGTTGACACAGCATGCACACATATGACGAGGAAAACAAGCATTCTGGGAGAGTAGGGAGGAATGACACATATTAGATCACGTAAAACTCCACCAAGGGCCAAAACCCATTCGATTCTTCATCAATGGGCCAATGAAGGATTAATAAGGGAAGTTGTGTGGAGCAGTAGGGTTTTCGAGATCCGTCGCGTTTACACATAGGCGTCATTCAACACCAGTCTTATCGTGACAATCAATTATTCTATCCTATTCTGTCTTACATCCCTCGGTCAAAACAAGTCTCTTCCTTCAATACTCTGTCCTTGCCTTGCATGAGAGTCTCACTCTGCTCCTCCCATCCAGTGTCTCACTGCGAATGAGATGAAAAACGAGGGCGAGAAGCGCATGCGGAGAATAAAGGGACACGGGGAAAGGAACAATCGCGCGATGGAAAGTGCACAAGTACACTTCTTTTGTGTACCGCGTATACAGTACAATCGGTGGACGGTGGTGACGTGTACGCGTGTGTGATGGTGACGCGCGATGCCTGATCCCGCGGCTGCCCCGTATTCGTCGCGGAACGAACGCGCGATTATGAAGGTCCTGTTCGTTTTTAAAACGGCGAAACCGAAATCCGTTCAACCGCGATCCTTGTTCTTCTTCGCTGAATAAACGATAAGTGGTGACTCAGATTTCTCTCGGAAAAAATCCGGTGGAACACATTACTTGATGCGTGAGGAGCGTATAGCTATGATTCATGCTTCGCTTCACCGAAAAGCGCTCCACTAGAGTTATTTAGTGCTTCCTTTTCGAAAGATTATTGAACTTCAGAGCACAGGGCTTTTCATCATTCGTGACGCGTAATCGGACACTAATTGGCACAGTGGACGATTGCCCGTGAGAGAAAAATTTCCAGCCGTCTAGGTTTCTAACTTCGAATCTTGTGGTCAACGAATTGTTTCTTAACGTGCGGTAAACCTTCTACATCAACTTGGACTTACTTTTACTCGATGCGAAAGGTCACAATAATCATCGATTTTGAACTTGACCTTCTCCGCGAGCTTTGACCTCGCCAAAATGGACCCATAAAACTGGAAACGTTCGCGGGTGAATTCGCTTCCGTAGTGATGATCGTTCTAGGATTCAATCCGGAAGTACGGTACTGTACTGTGCCTCGAATATCGTGGAAAAAAACATTTCGTTTGATATGAATTAAACGAAAAGCCAAGTTATGCTGTCGCGTGAAGCATCAAATTGAGCCTAACGCGTTCAAATTACAGTAATTTTCTAAAATTATTTTCGCGCTGGGTTTCGCTTCGACAGTGGCGATCTGTTCATGATCGCGATTCAAATATTCTCGTGTGCTGTATTATATTCTACTTCACCTCAAAAATCGTGAATGCATTCCGTCTTACTGCGAATTTAAGGTCACGCAAAGGTTAATTTTGTTTTAAACCTCAAATTGAGTCTTTTCAATTCGAAATTGTTTTTTCATTTAAATTCGCTTCGATTTGAATTTTAGTTTGAAGATTCTGTCCGAAAATACTCTAGTGTAGTTCCTGTAGATGTCTCGAATATTGTGAAAAACATTTCGTCTATTGTAAATTAATGAAGAAATCCGAGTGCTGTCACATGAAGCCTAACATTCATCCTTTCATGAGTTTCATCCCCGGCTTGTTCTGTCTTGAATTTTTTCTTGCGCGTAAATTCGCTTCCACACGGATTTTAGTTCCAGGATTGATTTAGAACATTGTACTGTACTGAACTACAGTGCACTATGTTTTTCAGATATTGATAAAAATGTTTCATCCATTTACGGAAATCTGAATGCAGTCGTACGAAACCTCAAATTCAGTATTTTTCCTTCAACTCGTTATTTTTTGAGCGTGAATTCACTTCCATGCATATTTCAAGTTCATGATTCCATCCAAAAATACTGCACTGTTCCTTAAATATTGTGAAAAACGTTTCGTCCGCTGAATGTGAATTTTAAAAATTCTAGTGCTTTCGCGTGAAATCTGTAATTGAGTACTGTATTTCCTCTTCAATTCACTAAATTTAAAATCCATTTTTGCGCGGGAAATCACTTCCATACATATTTCACGCTCAGAATTAGGTTCAGAAATACGGTACTGTACTATACATATTGTCGAAAACGTTTCGTCCGCTTTTAATTTTTTTTTCTACATCCGAGTGCTGCAGTGTGAAAACCGGACACTCGGCCCTTCATCTCCAATTTAATATTTTTTTTAAATATTTTTTGCGCGGATAGGATTTGCGAAACCGCCTCCAGGCGCGACATACCCTCACCAGCAATTTACTCCAGTGCCAGTGTATCATCATCAAACCCCTGGTGTCTCATACATGATGAATCCCTCACAACCACAGCATACTACAGTCATCATCAATGGAGGATGTCCTCGTTGCCAGGTGAGGGAACAATGACAACAAATTTAATCACGACATGATAAATAATTTATTGTTCAAGAAGAAAAAAAATCGCGTAAACAGTTCGGGCATGGGTTTTCGCCCGTATGACACTATTTTCCGGCGAAATTCACCCCACGAGAAAATGCGTATGTTTCAGAAAGGAATGAAAGAAAAATTCTAAGGTTTTTTGTTTGTGGCAAAGAGATAATGATACGTAGTAGACGAAGAAAAATCCTGTAACTTTTGGAGAAAGAACGAACTGTCTCGACATGAGAAACGAACATCTGAATGTGTGTCTCGAGCTCCAAAAAAAAAAAGTACGAATTTCTGAAACATAGTTACATAGTTGTAAGCTTGGAATTTTGAAAATTTAACCGAAAGTTAATCCAGTTTTTGTCAAGCACGATTTTTTCTAGAACAAATAAAAATTTCCATCAAAACTTCAAAGAATGTTTGATCTACATAACATTTCTGCAGAGATGGTTTCTGTTCAGCAGGAAATAATGGAATAACTATTATTTATTATAATACTTCAATTTTGGGGGCTTGACAAAATACTGCTACCAGAATCTCTGGACACAAAATGAATATACTGTAGTATCATCTTTTCTGCCCGAAAGCAGATGATAAAAGATATGTGATGCGAAAAAAACGTTTCTTTTATATATTCTAAATACGTTCACATTCTCAATTCATTTCTTCAATATCCAAGAAAATTATAAGCTGTTGAATCAATCAACAGCCTGTGAAACTTTTAATTTTGAACGTATATGCGTCAAATATTCCGCCAGATCATTAGTTCCCTCGAATTATGCCTCTAATTCGTAAACAATATACAGTACAGTACTGTACTGTATATTATAAACGAAGGGCTTAAACTTGGTTTCACGCATTATTTTCGAAACTTGCATCTCACAGTTCAATTTTCATGTGACATACAAATATTACATCAAAAATGACAATACTGTACAGTATTTGTACTTGACATAAATGCTTCATCACTTGTACGCTAAGATTTAAAAAAAATTTACGGTACTCATTTTTGATGAATACTGTGACTATAAGGTATAGTCGTCCTGCGCATAAAAATATACCTAAAAGTATTGTCGTCCCACATATACAAGCGTATGCTGAACTTGTAATGATGAATTATAATAATGCACAACAGGGAAATCCCAAGAAATTCCCCTATTGTGCAAGAGCTCCTAAAAAAACCTGTTTTCCACCACCATTTTAACAGTTGCTTGCTTTGTCTGACATTGTTTGGTTGAATTTGCTCTTGTGTGTGTTCTCTCTGTATCAAAATACATTTTGTCATCTTTTAATTCTTTTGGGATAATTACCAAACTATCCCCTGCCGAGTTCCCCGGCGGATTGTGTTTTTTTATTCATTTCTTGTTCTTGAATTCGCTCATTCGTTCTTCGTGGGCTTTACCCCACATACTGTACAAGCATCACAGAAGTACATATTTCTGAAAGGTGATTTGAAGCTAATATTTTATTTCAAATACTTCTTTTTCAGTCCGGAAGCCTGTCCGACAGTTTCACTTGCTGCGGAATCTTATTGGCCATCATATTTTTCCCTGTGGGACTCGTTTGCTGCTACGTCATGAGAGAGAAAAAGTGCGTGAACTGCGGAGCCACTTTCGGCTGAAAATATCCTCAACACCTCGCAAGCTTTTCCGCCATTTCGATGTTTTAAAAGCATACTTTTTCCTGATGCAACGGCGTCCGTGGTTCACGAAAGTATTTCGAATATTCGACATTTAAAAATTTGACCATAATTCCTTCAACAACGAAAACAGAAAAGGAGTGAAAGGAAGTCACTGGACGAGACACGAACTTTCGCGATTCTGGAAACGTTCCGAGCTTGACAGTTCTTGTGCCTTATTATGTTCGTTCGTTCTTCGATAAGTCTTGAACTGGTACACTTTTGATTGACTTGAGCCAGTTGGTTTTTTTACAGTTTTCTTTTGTCGTCGAGGCAAACTCTTTTTTTTTTAAAGAAATGAACAATTCAAGGGTATTTTTTGTATTAATGGGAATAAGACTCAGACCCGCGACAAGGAAGGAGAAAAGTTGACGGCACTTATATTTTCGAGTCCTTCATCACCCTCGACGTCGAATAAAACTCGATGATTTTCAAGCTTGTTTCCATTTATTTTTCCACATCTTTTAAACCCTAGTGAAGCACCATTAAAAGGAAGGAACAAACTGTCTTGCAGTGAATTTGGTATAAAAAAAAAACTTTTTGTGTCAATTACGGAATGTTTCATGAAAAAGAGTCAACAGAAATCCATGACGTCATTGCAAGATTGTCCCTTAGAATGTATGATTTAGTTATTTGAATGTGATATTGCTGATCAACAGTATTTTTGCAATATTTTCATTATACTGTACCACCGGTGATGGTTTTGCCCGAAACAGAATGGTCTAGAAAACGTCAAAAAAAATGTCTTTGATGAGGGAATTCACGAATCGAACCGTCGAACCCAACTTTATTCAAATGACACCTTCCTGATATTGTATCTTGAAAGTACATACGGATTCAGGGGTAATAAAATCATGTGGTTTCTTCAGAAGACTGACTAGCATGAACAATTCTAAATGTTTGTTCTGATTCGAAACACTCTCGGCGCCTTAATTATAGTACTCGCGTGTGGAGTTCATTTCTTATTTCTAGAATGAATTTAACTAGAAAAGTTGAAATTCTGGAAAGAAAACTGTTCAAAGGAAAACGGCCCCAGTTCCCCTGACAATTTTCATTCCATGACTCAGTCGACCAAGTTCCTTCAGAAACACCGTTGAACTCAAACGATCGAAAATACTCTCGCATTTTACCCAAAAAACGATTACCTGCAGCAAGATCAAGTTCGCGCAATTAAACAAAAGAACTACTGTAGTCATTAAAACACCAGACCCAAAGAGCTCGCACCATGGCAAAAGCAAATCGTTGCTGTCAATAAACACCACTCATTTCGTCCTTCAAAACCAGGCCGCAGCACAAAGGCATCATTAAGGCAACAAACATGGTAGTAGCCAAAACGAGCTCCGCGTTTCCTTGGAGATGTGCACCACAAAGAAGGGACATAAAATTGTTACCACCGGAAATAATGAAGTTATACTGGGAGTCGATAAAATGCACACTGATAACCGTGGACGGACAGAACAATCGAGCCTTGAAGGCGCAGGATCCTTGGACAGATTGCACCCTACGGTGTATGGGTGCACACAAATCTTTCAGAACTATTTTTCCACAAAAAATAAAAATAAAATACTGCACAGTACCATACCGTATTTCCTGTACCACACACCCTAAAGTAAAGCCTGCACCACCCCAAAATTTCATTTTTTCTATGTGTCAAAAACCCCATCCCCATGTTAGATTGGCACCCCATTCTGTTTGTTGTAAATCGCAAATTATTAAATCTCTCGTGTGCGTGATGGATGCGTTAAAAAAATGTTATGTGTTTTCCTGGTTCATTATTGCCTGTTTCAGGACAATAATACACAGGAAATGCTTCCTGAATTATACAAATATTTTCCCCATCCTTCACTTCCTGTCAAATCTCCAACTGATCTTATATCATGGGAGAAACAATTTTTGCAGCTAAAACGTAATATAATTTCCTCTTTATGTTTCCCCTGAGTAAAATAGAAAAGGCTGTACTCACATACGCAACTTCTGCTCTTGAAAATTCGAGAAGAAACTCATCACGCAGCGTGTTCTGCCAAATGCACCAATGTTCGAGGAATCCTTCGCTACGCGGATACATATATTTCCTTTCCGAAAAGTCCGAACTTCTAGATGAATTCCTTTGGAAATTGACACATGAACACCACACTCATACTATAAAACGCCACGATTGTTCCAAAATACTCGATGAAGCATAACACAAGTTTCGGATTGTAGCGGAGGGCCGGTCACTCTTCGGAATCAACCCCGGTATTTTACTACTGTTGCCCAAGATACCGTGTCAGTAAGATGTCATCCGGCATGATCGTCCAATATAGGTTTAGTAATCCGCTTCGCGCCGATCGAACCGCGCCTAACAGAGGTCGCAAGTGGTCTAACGCTCCTTCGAATTTAATTTCTAGCCAATAGCGAACAGGAACACCAGCATCCCCTCGCGAACAGAACCGTCGCCATGATGAAGTCCAACAGTCATCCGCTGGCGCGCGAGCAGCTCGACTCGGATGGAGTCATCGAAAGGACGGTTCCCGAAACCCGGTCATCTTTTCTTACGCATTTCGTGTACACGTTGGATTACATCATTGTGTATGAGGTTGAAAGACCTCTTCTGGAACTCTGCTCAGTTGAGTTTCTGTAGCCCCTTTTGAACTAGTTTCGGAATAAGTCTTCGGGGATCCTCCGAGAAAATGAACAATCCCGCTGTTTGACCGCTTACATATGGAGTAACTAACTCATTCGTCATGACGAAGCGCGCGGCTGCGAACAGTGCATGCGTCGGAGCTTGCGTTGCAATGCCTGTTGAGTGTTCTGTGGACGTGTTACTTTTTTGGAAATGGTTTTGCATGCAAGAGGAACTGTGAGCTCGCTCATTCTTCGAGTTTCGTGTTGAACAGAGACTAGTTTACAATTATCCATGAATACCCAGAACAAATCAAACGACGCTATTCATAAGTGCATGGTAATACTATAGATGCCACTTAGTATGAGATACAAAAAGATTTTTTTTAGTCAAGCGCGACTTATAATTCAGGAGATACTCTGTTGTAGTTCTGAGTAATCTTCGAAATATTGCGCAAGTTTAACTGAAAATCGCCCATATTTCACAGACTGGAATGTCAGGTTTACCTCGGTAAGGTACTTGACTTTCACATTCGCCGACGATGACCGCAGCAAACGCGCAATTCATACTGGTGCAAATCTTCGAACACTTCATCTGATCTGTTTCAATGAGACTACAAATATAGTAATTGAAATTTTTATTTCTGATTTACAGGAGTGTGATCAGAAACCTACAGTTCGTAAAACTACTGTTCCCTGAAACTTCGTCAAAATCTTACCTCTTCTTGATATCAAGAGGCCGAATAGGAGAGCGGGATATCCATCATGCGTCAAGATCCGGCGAGCAGCACAACCGTGGTCGTCGTGGGAGGTGGTTGTCAACATGTAAGGAGAAGTGTTATTAACGGAGCATCTGGAAAGGACGATTGAAAATGTAAAAGTATTTTTATTTTGAATTTTTCATCAGGTATTGAGGGATTCGTATACATGCTGTGGGATTTTATGCGCGATTATTTGCTTCCCCTTTGGATTCCTGTGCTGCTGTTGCTGGAAGGAGAAAAAATGCAGGAAATGTGGAGCTCAGTTCGGGTGAATTCCAGTTAACGAAGAATTTCTCTCGATTTTGCCGAGAATCTCACGGAACAGAAGAACCAACCTTGCCATCGGGAAGGCTGAAGTTATTCAGAATTTAGAAAAGATGAATCAAACGGGTTGTCTGCACTCCGTAATGAGTTCAAGTCAAAATTGTTGAAACCGCTGTGGGAATAATTAAAATATTCTACAAACCCTCTTTATTATTCGGAAATATGATTTTTTGGTGGACCAGACATAATTGAAAATATTGACACATTTCAGGGAAACATTCATGTTCATGATTGATGCGAAGATTGGAACGTGGTTGTCATACCAAGGCATTTTAGGTTCTGTTGATTCTTTAGTTGAGGATAACTGAAGGACTGCTAGTGTTGCAAAGCGACGAATTGAAACGCTTGTGGAGTGCATTTCTCTTCATCCAAGTAGCATCTATTTGTCGTCTCAATGCCCTCTTCAACTCCTCCCAAGTCTGCAACCCACCCACAAGCACTGATGCCTGTTTTTGTGGGTTGCAGTGAGTTCCGTGACGTTCATGGCCAAGGCAGGTGGTGTGCTGAATAGGACTTGGAATGTGAAAATGTTGCACCTTCAGTTTCTTATTGTGCGCCCATTTGAATGCCTAAGCTGAAAAGCTTAATAAGATGCACTGGAGCTCATCATTTTGACATAAGGTGAAACATTATAGGTGCAAAATTGCGATTTCAAAGTCAAATTGTGGTGCTTCATCCTACCTTGACTTCATTGTGCAATGAACTATGATGGGCCCATATTTCTCTTACATCCATTATATTGGAATCCATGAATCGCAGGTTTCTGTTAAAAGTATTGTCGAAACAATGTACTGTATACTGAAAAGACTTTCAGCTGTTGATGAATGCGAACTACACTTGGGATATAGTTTTGTGCATCCCACATGGAATGGCTGGAGATGGACCTGATTTTTGCCTCGTGATATTTCATTCTTTCCAAGGTTACCATGACGTAAACAGGATCCCACCCCTCATTTACCCGCACGGAACAGCCCCATAAAACCGAAAAAAGTAACCCTCTCGCGGTCAGCCAGGCATTTTTCCCACCGGAATTCCGAATTTTTCGTCCTGGGGACGGGGGACATCCTCTTTCCCTCCACCCTGGCAACTCGCATGGGTCGACATTTCAGCTGCAACAAGTCAGGCAAAATCTAAAATAATTCTGTGTTTCCAGTATTTCTTTTACTATTTTCACTTCTTACATCAGACGGAACTAAAGCAAGCAACAAAATCAGCATAATCTCAAAGAAACAAGATGGGGATAATCGCAAATACTTCTGTGGACTGTGTCATCAGTTTTTTTTTTTTTTTACTATTTTCCCTTGTTACCTTAAACGGAACTAAAGGTATACTGTACTTCCATGAGGAGCATCACATTATGCATGTACGGGTGCTTTCCATCCATTTGTTTGGGCCTCCAGGAGCATTGCTTGGTTTAGCAGTGTGACAGCAATTGTCTTTGCCCAAGCTGGGATGCAATCAGGGGGATGGAAAAATGAGAAATATTATTCAAATTACTTTCATTTTGATGTGCATTGCAAAGGAACTCATGAATAGACTCCCATCACACATACTCCTGTCAGATTACAGTACAGAAACTAGCACACTGTAAACCCAGTGCAAGAGTAACATGTAAAATTGAGTTGACTGCTGGAACTCGATCTATAGATCTGTCCCGCGCGGGCACGCCTTACACAGGCACGCACCCACAAATGCCATCTCATTGGTAACCATTGCACCTGTCCTAAAACGTGATGTGACAACTCTCCAGGGTTTGCAATTTACTGTCGATTGGCTGGTTGGTCTAGTCTAGTCAGGCGCTCACTTGTGTTAGCTGTGTTCCTTTACAGAAATAATTCTTAATTTTTAATACTGTACTCATTCCCGAGGTGCGGGAGTGATCGCAGTAGTATGGTCAACAACACATTGATACACAATCTTTGGACAACACTATTGGCCGGCGGGCCTACAGATGCTCCAGCGCGCGTACAGATAATTACACCGTTTCCATTACGAAGCTCGCTGGACGAGTGTAGCAGAGACTTGGACAGACACACACACTAGTGACTAGGTGCATCGGACACGACTTATATAGAGACATACGACTGCAGTGCAGATGTAATGAAGTTGTAAGGCAGTCTTTTGGAATAACGGGGCTCGTCCGCCGGTCAGAACTTCAATCAGCAATAGTGAATAGTGACAATTGTGATCAGTACTACAGCCAGACTAAGTGGTGATCATGCCAAACGAAACTCCTAAGCAACCGCCAACAAAAAGTGAACAAGCCGAAGCCTCATCAGACGATGACTCCAGTGTATCCAGAAATCCAATCAGCCCATGGGAGTACATTTCAAAGGTGTACATACAACAATACTTTGCAAAGGTCCGCCTAGAAAAACCTCCATCTGGACTCAAATCTGATTATATTGCACGTCTCAAGGAACTAAACATCACTCCTGCAGCAATATGCCCTGAATTAGTGTCACAAGTTCAAACCAATTCAATTGACACTGGCTTGCCAACATCCAACCAAAATTTTCCAAAACTCGATTTTATCAAGCAGGAAGTGAATGAAGATATTGATGATTTTATTAAACGCGCCCAAGCGGTTTTCCGTATCAGAAAAATCTCGGAAATGGACCAGCTGGTGTGTTTACTCACGTGCACTCAAACAAATATTGCAAGAACAGCCCAAAGGCTCTTTGATGCAGGAGTCACAACCTTTGAACAATTATCCAGTAAATTATCACAACGATTCGGGTTGTCAAGGTACGAGCGACTACGGAGATTCCATAATATACAACCATTTCCAGAGGAATCATGGCAACATTTTGGTGAGCGTTTGTACCATGAATACATCTTGTTCCTGCGGTATACAAAGCTGAAAGCTGAAAACAGTGAAGTTGCAGAAACAATTACATATGCCTTGTTGGATCAATTACTCAGCATATGTGACCCATTCCTACAAAATCATATCAAGGATAATGTGGCAAAATTGATGCCCTTTTCATGGGATGGCATCCTAGAACTTGCAGATACATATCGCGAAAATCATGCAAAACCCATGAGTTCTCGACCATTTTTCCGCCCAGGAACAAGACCAAATGCTAACCAGCAGAATCAAGTAACCGGAAATTCACCCAGTTATTTCTGTATGTACCACAATTGCATGCAGTACCACAAAAGCGAAGATTGCAATCTGGGAAAGCGGCGCAGAGCTTATCAAACTGGTTACTCCAATAATAACTACGCAAGCAGCTCACGACCATCCCCGTGTTACACATGTGGCCAAAGCGGACATTTAACAAAAGAGTGCCCAAAGCAGGGAAACTCCAAACCGGCACAGTAGAGGCGCTCTGCTGTGACGTGGCTATCATGAAGCAAAATGCGCCACTTATTATTCAAATCACAATCAAAGGTCAAGTCCAACCAGCACTCCTAGACACAGGAGCATCGCATTCTTTCCTTGATCAACAAATTGCAAACCAGTTGAATCTTCGATGTGTGGCTGACTTCGCAAATATTGCAACGGCAGTTCAATCAACTTCTGTCCAAACATTACAAAAGGCACATACGCAATTTCAATTCCGTGGAGCAGAGTATCAAGTATCATTTTACATTCTGCGCAAACCAACCTATCAAATCATTCTTGGGAGAGATGTACTGCAAATGTTACCACTCACAATCACCTTGGATGGGCAACGAATTTTTACAGGATTTCAAAACATACGCAGGCCACCAGCTACACCTACACTCAAAATTGGAGAAGGGATACAATTTGTCAATGGTTCTCCCAGTGAACAACAAGCAATCACGCAAATACTCACACAATACACAAGTGCCATTTTTCAGTGGTCAGGGCAACAAGGTTTGTTCATCAATCATGTGGCCACATTACCTACAGCCAACAATATTCCACCTGCATCACGGCCATTTCGACAATCAGCTGACAAACGTGAACCTTTTCGAGAAATCATCAACGAATATATGGAGCAAGGAATTATTGAATATGCCACTTCACCATACAATTCGCCCGCTTTTCTCACACAAAAGAAGTGCGAAGATCCTTCAGCGCCAGCATCCAAAAGATGGCGTTTGGTCGAAGATTACCGAAAACTAAATCAAACATTGCATACGGACAATTACCCAATGCCCGTTATTCAAGATCTTCTTGATGCGCTGGGAAGAAAAAATGAGTACTTCTGCTGTATTGATTTACACTGGGGTTTCCACCATGTTCCCCTGGCTCATGATGACCGACAAAAGACTGCTTTTACAACACCCCAAGGGCAAGTGCAGTACACCGTTTTACCATATGGCATTAAAAATGGTCCAGCAATTTTTCAACGGACGGTGGATGTTATTTTACGCAAACATTTGTACATAAGGTGTCTTGCCTATGTGGATGACATCATTGTGTTTGGAGCAACATTTCCAGAGGTGTGTCAAAATCTAAAATTGGTCCTGCATGATTTGGCAACTGAAGGGGCAGCAATTGATATCAACAAATCACGTTTTTTGGCGCATACCATTGAATTTCTTGGGCATTCAATTGATAAAACTGGAACCAAACCTCTGGAGCGAAACCTCAGTGCAGTGAAAAATTTTCCGCAACCCACAACGGTGAAGGAGTTACAACGTTTCCTGGGCTTGGCTACCTACATCAGATCCTACCTACCAACAAATTTTGCAACGCTTGAAAAAATTTTACGAAATACCATACCACCCAAGCCAAAAACAGCTCTTGTATGGAACTCTCAAGCAGCAGAAGCTTTTCAGGCCATCAAGGATATACTTGCGCAAGCTGCAAAACTTGAACGTTTTGATCCGCAACGAAAAACTGAAGTACATTGTGATGCCTCAGGGACCAGTCTTGGGGCAATTCTTGTTCAAACCGACAATCAAAACAAATCATACATTGTTGAATATGCTAGCCGCGTACTTACACCAGCAGAAACACGCTATTCCAATACTGAGCGGGAGCTGTTGGCTGCAGTCTGGTGTGTGACAAGGAAATTCCGACATTACTTGGAACATCGTCCATTTATCATTTATACAGATCACAAGGCATTGCTTGGAGCAATCAAACTCAATGCAACTCACTCAACTCGGCTGGTGCAACTTAAAATGAAATTGGAACCTTTTCAACATGTTATATTGTACAAACCTGGTGCTACATTAACGGGACCCGATGCTTTGAGCAGAATCACATTACAAACAATTGTGCTCAAGGAAATACCCAACCCGGACCAACAACACGAAATTATTGATGCCTATCACATTGAAATGGGCCATCCAAGCTGGAAAAAAGTGTATCCGGTGCTACGCGATCGATTTACTTGGCCTCACATGAGAACTTCTATCAAGGAAAGGTTGCAACAGTGTCAAAAATGTTTTACTTTTAATGATCCTGTATCACAAGTTGGTACACATTTTATCCGTGTCACAACCAAAGCGCCTTTTGATCGTTTGGGAATCGACTTTTATGGTCCAATGCCGCTGACTCCAAGGGGACATCGTTATGTACTTTTTGCAGTGGATTATTTTTCGAAATACGCGATTGCAACTCCTATTTCCAATGCTGATACGCGGACGGCAATTTCTTTTCTTGCGGATGTTTTTACGCACTTTGGCAAATTTCGAGCAATTCACAATGATGCAGATCCTGTTTTTCGATCTAAATTATTTGAGCAATTCCTTGAATTGAATGATATTTCACATCACACGGCTCACCCAACCCATGCTGAGGGCAATGGGTGCTGTGAGCGGGCAATCCGGACACTTGGGCGCATTGTGGCCAAGACCTGTCCTGACCCTAAAAGTTGGGATTTGGTGCTACGAACCTGTGTCAATTCTTACAATGCTACGCCACATTCTACTACTGGTGCTGTCCCATATGAGGTGTTTTTTCAGTGTCCTGTCACTCGACTGGCAGATGAGCGTTTTAATGTGTCAACGGATTTCAAATTACCAACAAATTCGGAGGTGCAAAATCAAGCCAGTCAAGCTCAGCAGTCTTATCTTCACCAAGCCAACCAAAGGCGCTTACCTCACTTTGAACCAGGTGATTTTGTCTCGGTGGTACCTCGTCTTCCAAATCAACATCGTCATGTAGCTGAGCGTCGTTTCCGGGCACGCAAGCTTGGACCCTTCATGGTCGTTCAAAACCTTGGTCAAGGTCAATACCAGGTTGCCAATGGCCCTCATCTTCAGCAGGTGAATGCATGGGAGCTTACAAAATTCACTAGTAAGCGTCAACCTCCTCTGGCTTTGGACAAATGTGCCACCTCACAAACACAAACATCTACCACTTTGGTTCCTGATCAACCTGGATCACCTGCGGATGTCCGGCGTCAATCCAGTTCTGAAACATCTACCAAGTCTGGTGCTCTTGCTGTTTCTCATCATGGCGCCATCTCTCCTCATGTGTACAACCAACGAAAACCCCGGGGGGGGAGAGTAAGGGCTCCACGCCCTCACTAGCGTCATCATACCAGTTGTTGTGTAACTATGTGTTAGAAACCTGTTGTGATAACCGGCCGCCCGGATGTCTACGAGGTCGCGCGCATGTCTATTAATGTGGCATTCCATTACGAAGCTCGCTCACATCGTCTCTGAACCTGTCTGTGTGTGTGATCACTGATCCACGTAGCCTGTGCTGAATATATCTCTGTGTGCTGACGTCATGTCTACATTACTTCAACATTCTGTCAGAAAACCTTATTCTAGAGTCCATCCTGCCTAAAGGCAGGGTGACCCTAGAGTACACCCTGCCTAGGCAGGGTGTACTCTAGAGTCCAAAAGGAGGGTAGAGTACACCCTGCCTGCCACATGTGCCTAAAGATTTCGGTGGGTGAAGCGGATAACCGAAAATTTCGTGGAAAGCATAAATTGATGTGGATGCTATAATCGGAATTCAGATTTTTGAATCCGTTCGGTGATATCCATGAGTCGTGATGAAAAACGATAATAATGCTGAAAATTTACTTCGGCGCTGCAAGTCCGTAACCAACGCCGAAGAAATCGCGCATGAAGAGAAGATCATTCGAAGTCAGCAACCGGATAGTCCGTATGTTTATGCGGTCGGAAATGGTGTGAATGCAGAGCTGAGTTTTATTGTTTTTATCCCAGGTGTCATCTACCGAGAGACTCGCTGTTTTCGTGGTCCTCGGGATTTTCAAACTTCACCGGCTTCGCAAATTTGGCGTACTTCTTGCTTCTTCTTGGGGGACTACGTTTGTGCCTCGAAAATTTACTGAAGTGATTTCCCTTTCGTCATCTTATGAAATGCTCTCATTAATCTCTCTTTGTAAGTAGGTATGGAATTCGTGTTGATCCCTCGCAATGGTACATCGTATTGGCGAATCAAGACGGAGTGTTTCCATCGTACTACCCATCTCTTCTTGTCCTGATTTTGGGTGAGGAATTTTCCCCCTTGAGTCTGAATGTTCGGTCCTCCATTTGATTTCCATTTTAGGAACAAACTTGCAAGCACTTTTCGTCCTATTTGTGGAGAAGCGCCTTGCTCAGTCACGAGGCTCTTTAGATGGCTTCCTGCTTCCTTTTCTTCAACGCCTGGAAATTTTCAGCCTGGTTGTGTACATACTTGTACCCGTCGTTGCAATGTATCTAGATCCTGATGACTTCAGTCTGCGTAAGTGGATATTCTTGGAATTAGCATTGAAATCATGGAACATTCCTAACGTCCGTTTTTTATAGTTGGCTCAACCGTGGTGTGTGGAACATTTTCTGTGGTATTCCTAAAGTTGTGGTCCTATATCCAGGTCAACTCTTGGTGTCGTAGGAATTATGCGGCAAATGCGAAACGAAGGCGCCGAAGGCGGTCGTATTCCAGGGGTATGTATTGAAGCCTGTGTCTCATACGCCGCTTTAAGCGCGATCTAATCGTGTTTCGTTCGATAACTGTCGCAATTCATCATCTGAATTACCTGAAGGGTCGAAGTTATGTGTTATGCGGAAACCCTTCGGGGGGGATTGCGTCGTAAGATGGTTAAAATCTTCTCGATAATATCTTGAAATCCGTTCATTCTGGCTTTGATATCTGATCTTGTTCGGGATGGAAAAATTGGCAATCTGCAGTTTGTCCGCTGTATTTAATTTTATTGCTTTTTCTTGGGTAACGTGATAGTGATTTACGGCATAGATTCGCAGTTCACCGCTTACCTAGAGGAATACTCCTCTCCTTTTCCTGCAACCGAACGTGAAAGAAGGGGAAAGTTACGTTGAATTATTATCTTAATGCATTTTGAAACTTCTTCGATTTTCTTCAGTACTCCATCTATTCTACAGCATAGCTCTGAGAATCCTCGACTGTAGGTTGAAATTAAACCTTACTTTTGCTGCAATCGAATGACTTTGTCCACGAGTTTCTTTCTTGTAATTTGCGTTTTAAAAAAAAATTATTTGATGTAAAGTATGTGCTAAGCATTCCTTGTGGTGTGTTGGGTTTACAGTATTTCAAACGAATCCAAGAGAACATAAATTACTGCATTTAACTAAGGAACATAAGTTTGATCCAGCCAAACATGTTGTCAAGCCTGATTTTCTCGTTTTTGTGTCTCCTTCCCTTTCATCATGCTCTAAACGAAGCAGAAATCCTTGCCTTTTTTCCGTGATAAGAACATTTAAATTCCTGGCCTTCAATCTTCTGATAGCACGATTTTTTTGTGGTCAGTAAATACGGATTATTGACCGGGGATTGTTACATTTCTTCTGGTATGGGAGTAAAATTTCAGTCATCAAATCAAAATTTTCAGTCATCAAATTTCAGTCATCAATCAAATTCATTAGAAAGATTGGGAATCGTGTGGATGATACATGGGGATGATAGGGGTGTATGCACGGTTGCCGTAGCTGCATGTTATCCTTGGTCGAGACTCCATGAGCCGTTGGCAGTATTACGAACGTCAATTCTCATCTTTATTTTCGTGACAGTTTCTATTCTATTTTTTACCAAATATGTGAATTTGTTCAGAACCCAGCCGTATGATGGAAAAAATAAAGTTTTTGCATGGCAGAATGAGCAAAGGTTACTAAGTGCTCGACCTTCCATCTTTTTCGCAGTGTGTGTATTTTTGATATCAGTCAAATTCTCGCCTATTCTGCTGAATCTCGAGGAACGCGTTTACCCTTCATTCCGGCGTCTTGCAATTACAGTAGAAACAGGAGCGTTCAAGAGCGAAACGTATCTTGTGGAAGAAGAAAAAAACAGTATGATTTTCCTTTGTAATTGGAGAAATCTGTGTATCACGTGGAAAATATGGAGTGCTCTTGCAGTATCTGAGATTGTGTCGTGTGTTCTGCTACTTTGCTGAAACCGTGGCAGCGAAATGCATTACCCGGAGTTGTCCCTCCTTGGGATGAATCCAGTTACATTACAGTGGGCATGTTCTAACATAAAACTAGGAAAGGTTTCGATTTTTCTAATTGGTTGATTTATGTTTCCTTATAACATTTTTATGTTACTGGTGTATTGGCTGAGTCGTTTTTGTGTCTTTTTCTGCGTCAAGGAGCAACCGTAAAAGGAAAACTGGTGGGGATTTAAATATTTTTGAAAATTCAATGTTGACCACGTCTGATCAACGATTGCCATAAACCCCAAAGTTCAATGAAAAATGGACAATAGTGTTCATTCTTGTATTTTCTGGGATTTACTTGCAGAACGGAAATGAAAAGAGTATGGATTTAAGAATGAAATATAAATTCATAAGGCACGTAGTGGGATCCCTTTTTGAGACACAATTTGAACCTGTTCGCTTCGAGAAAACTGTACTTCAACGTTACGAAAGATGGAAGAACTACCGAGAGTCAAGTGTGGGAGTAACGCATAGTTGAACTGTGTCACCTTGTTTTAAACTTTTGAAACTCCAAGATCAAAATGTTGGTGTGATCTGGATTTTTCCATAACGTGTTGTCTATACGTTTAGTACATCATTACTCATTGTTCATGTATTGTATTTCAATACAGAGCTATGTTTGATTGTGCCAGATTCTGATCGCGCCGTTGCGTGATTTTACAATACTGTGAATAGTTTTTCATCAGATACATTGGGTCGAATACGTGACAAATGTTCTGCGTGAGACATCGGTCAAGGTAGTTTTCATTTTTTTTAAGGTGACCGAGCCATATCGCGACGTGAAGAGAGACTGGAGGATTTGAAGACAAAGAAAATCGTCGGATATCCCGATAACCTTACAGTTGGTGATCTGTACTACTTCCTCTTTTCGCCGACGTTATGCTATGAACTGAATTTTCCGCGCACGGAGAGGATACGGAAGCGTTTTCTCTGCAAAAGAATCGCCGAAGTTGTTATTGGGTTCCATGTCACCCTCGGTCTCTTCCAGCAGTGGATCGTTCCTAGCGTGAAGAACTCCCTGATCCCTTTTTCGGTACTTAATTTTATTTAACGACCATTCAGAGTTACGCTCACGTTTCTGTCCTTAAATTAACATTGTAAATGTTTAAATTTTTTCTTTTCAGAATATGGATTTCATTCATGCGAGCGAGCGCATGCTGAAATTGGCTGTAAGTCACAGAGAGGTGGAAGTTCTCCATGGAATTTCGTCCAACTTTTTCGTTTCAGATTCCGAATCATTTGCTTTGGCTAGTTTTCTTTTATGTTTACTTCCACGGGTTAATGAATATTGCCGGCGAGGTTTTGATGTTCGCTGATAGAGATTTCTATGGCGATTGGTGGAACTCCCCGAACATCGGATATTTCTGGCGCACGTGGAATTTGCCCGTTCATCGTTGGGCCGTGAGGTCAGTTTGAGTTCTTGATCGGTGTTGGTTGTGTCCAGAACTCTTTGACTGTACTTCCAGGCACTTATATATGCCCTTGACACGATGTGGATGGTCCAAGTTTCATGCGTCGGTTGCAGTGTTCTTGTTGAGCGCATTTTTCCATGAGTACTTAGTCAGCGTTCCCTTGAGAATCTTTCAATTTTGGGCTTTCTTGGGGATGATGGGGCAGGTGAGCACGATACTTTCTTTTAATTTATGTGTTATCCTTGTTGCAATAGTTCTTCCTACTGATATTTCGAAGCGCTATGTCACACATAGCTCTCATATGCTGTCAGTTTAAAATGGACAGGTTCACAAGCCCGCGATAGCTTGAAGTTACAGCTATTAGAATGATAGCTAGTGCTGTTATCTGCACTTGTTCGCTTGTTCCCAGAAGTTGTGAAGAAGTTCTTTTCTCTATGAACGTTCTCCTTGAATGTTGAGCCGTAAGTACGGTAAGTAAGGTGAGCCACGCTTCAGAAGTGGATGTGATCATTTGATGAGTGTCTTGGTTTTTCTGTTACGGTTCATGTCAGAAGTACCGTAATTTCTGGATAATATTGCGGGAAGTTATCCGATTGTTTTGAATTTATATTTTCTTTGAATATTGAAAACATAAAACTCGATACGTGATGCGGAGTGAAGCCTATGAAGATGCACTTTCTGGCATTCCGCCCGAATTCGCGTTTCTTTAAGGATATATCCTCTACGGAACGCGTGAGAGGATCCTTAACCTCAGTTTCCATCAAAGGATGGAGAATTCTCCGCATTGGCTCTGATTTTTTATTGCGCCATGAGCGCCGCGTAAATTCATCTGTGATGAATTTTTTTAGGGATTTCATACGGGGACGAATGACAATCTCGTGAGGAACGGATAAAAATGTGTCAAGTCATGCGAAAATATTTGTACAGTACTGTACAGTAGAGCGAGTTTTTCCTAGGATTTTTTTAGTCTATATTTTTTCATTATGCAGCCATCAGAATCCGAAGTGCTTTGCCCTGTAAAAAGTCATTTTTTTAAAATGATTTACTGAGGAAGGTGAGAAATTTTGACATCAGCATGTGTTCTTTTAAGGATTGTCTTACGAACTGTTAATAGGCGAGTCAAGAGCCGTGTGGTGTTCTTCAGTCTGTGCTCAGTATGGTTAGTAACTTCTTCCGGATGCTAAGTCACGCGTGCTGGGCAAAAGTTGATGGTATACTTGGAAAAGGCGCCAGCCTTGAGAGGGATGGTTGAAATTTATTTTTCTCTAAAGCTTATCTTATCGGTTGCTGCTGTTTCATGAAGGCGAATTCTGAAGTTGCCAAGTAAAAGTCTGTTGCATCCATTAGATAAACCCATACAGTAATGCCATTCGAAGGTTACTTTTATGAATTCTTTCCTACTGTGTTCAAGTCTTTTAAATGTTGACCTGGATGTTGAAACGCGGATCATCGTAGTACATAGTTGAAACTTGAATCCTATGGTCATCACTTGTTAAAAGTTAACTTGCGTGGAGAGGCAGATGCGTGATAATGATGGTTCATGTTTGTATCCCATGTATGAGTTGGACCAAAAAAATACAGTATCAGGTCTTTGACGCAGTTTTTTTTTTATTCGGACGCTTTTCCATTGGGAAAAACGTCTTAAACGATTTACTAAGGACGCTTTTCCAATGGGAAAAGCGTCTTCGAAAATGGAAAGTTCAAGTTCAATAAATACCTTAATGATGGTTCCATATACAGTACAATACATTACTGTATAATATTTTTAATTTGCTCTAGAGACAAGAATGATGGTCCTAGGGGGTTTCTCACTTTTACATTTAATTTCTGCCAGGTATAATTTCGAGTTCGAGAAGTTACGAACTCTGTATTGTACCTCTCGTATGTAACTCGGAACCATTTATTCCGAAAGTAATCCTTCCGTCTGATGATTTTCTCAACCCTCCAATTTTTGAGCCATTTTAATGCCGGTTGGAAAGGATCGCGTTGAGCACATCGTGCATGATTAAAGTTTGTTTTTGAACCGGATCGAAAGTTCTCAAATCCAGGAAGCAGGAAATTGACAGATTTAAAACGCGAAGACGATAAAGCAAATGGCGAAATATTTTAAAGGTAATATTCCATCAAATGAACCTTCTTTTCATACTGATTCCGCCAGAATCATCCAGTTAAAATCATCTGAGATTTACTCGAAGCACTGGAATTGAAAAAAATATTGTAAACCTTTTTGAAAGCCGTAGTTCCAACCGTTCAGGAAACAGAGCTTCTTGAAAATCGTTCTACTTTTTTGGCCCACTCCGTGGAAAATATTACTGCAGATACTTTAAACTTCAACCACGGAAGAGTTAAGTGCTGCTTAGATAATAAAAGGTGGTTTCGGTCCATCTTTATGATATACAAGCTAGGGGAGTGAAAGATATTTTTAGCATTCATCGGGGAGAGCCCCTGTCATTCAATTATGAGTGATTCTTCCCCTATCAATATTCCAAATAATGAGCTTAGAAGTGGAACAAATCAAAATGTCAAAAGCACATAACAGATTTTCCATTTTTAACTCGACCTCGGGCGAGTTCGCGTTCGTCTGTTAACAAGTACTGTATTCGTAATCAGGGCGTTAGTCCACAAAATTTTGGTATGGTCCTTCCCATTCCGCTGAAAATAACCAAAAAAAAGGTTCCTTGTCTGAGTTCGTCATTCCTTGGATTGTCTAAGAATGTTACCGCGGGATATTCAACTTTTAATCACAATGGTCGATTTTTCTTCTTTCTTTCAGCTGCCATTGGCCATGATGAGCAACACGGTCGAAAAATTTTGTGGTGGCAGATGGGGAAATATTATGGTGTGGTCAAGTATTATTCTGGGACAACCGATGTGCATCATGATGTATTACCATGATTATGTCATCAAACATTTCGGGCGTGATTTGCTAGATAGCTTTTCTCAATTGTGAAACGATCCAAATCGGAACTTACGCATCCGCTAGTGATCTCTCTCGTAAGCTTCCGAACGCTCAATCGTTGGGTACTTCAATTTTTTGGGGCTTATTGCTACCGAATTTCCGAAAGTTCTTCGCATTTTGATCGTGCAAATTCATCTCGTATCGATAAGAATTCGGACAGATGACTGTGATTCCAGAACGATTTGCATTCGTTATTGGCTGTTCAAGCTATTTTGTCAGGACCAGGGCTGAAAACTGCATTCGACAGTATGTTGTGCTAGTCATAATTATTACTGAAGTGACATACTGGCTGGTCATGCTAGCGTTTAATACGCGTGGGTGTTGAAAGAGTTCGTTTTTCGGAAGCGTCATCATTCCAGAGGGCAATAGTCATGGCCCGAACTCCTTTTTAAAACTTATTTTCTTCGCTGTAGTCGACCCTTGTAATGTGGAAAATACGCGTTTGTCGGTTTTGGAGAAAAGGTATTGCTCGGGATATTTTCTCTGGGATTTATCAGTTTCATATTATTTAGTCGATTGACCTGTTGATCTCGATCCACAGGTTAAAAATTTTGTTGCATTAAGAAAGTGAGGTGTGCCGGATGATCGCGGAGTGTAGTTGCTGGTCAGGATCAACGCGAACATCATCTCGACGATGGGTAAGCAAGAAAATCTATTCTTCCTTTGATAATTCGAAGTTTCTTGGAAATTCTTGCCTTTCACCCATGCTAATTTAAAATCTTGAAGTGAACGAATCCCTATAGAATTTTTTTTACCGACCACGTATTTTCCCGCTAATGAAGTATTTTCGCATGAATTGTAAACTGAATCAGAAACGTTCAGTGAGCGTTGATTCGCGAGATGAAAGGTCTTGCCCAGGAAAGTCCGTTTTTTTGGCAATGCAGTACTCTGGCAAATTGCTCCTTTTTCGCGAAACCTTGAGAAGTTAAACCGTATGACACGCTTTCAGAAGAGCGATTCAGAATGTCGGATAGTTTCACCATAAAATCTGTTCTGAATGGGGTTTGATGACTATTTCGGGGTCATAGAAAAATGTCCGTTCCATCGTTAGTTACAAGCGCAATTCTACCCGCTTTCTTCGTAACAAATTGGCGCATGGCATTCAGTTGCATCGTGCAACGGAGACTTGGTTGGATAAAGCGGAATCATTTCTCGCAGATGGGCATTGAAACGAACGAAGGTTTTTTGAGATTGCGTACTACGCGAAAGAGGCTTCACGTGAATTATATAAGCGCCACCCACTGCTTCACTGCAGCGTAAGATGACCGTGAGGTATTGTGTGGATTTGCATCATCATTCGTGGTTATTTTGATGGAATTCCGTCCCTCCTCTTATTTGCTCGGATGCGATTGCGCCGTGAAGCTCTGTGATGACTGTTACCGTAACCCTCATGGGTGAGAGGTTGCTTTGGCGGCTTCGAGGAAGATTTAAAAGGCAGGAAGGTTTCCGATGAACCCCAGCGCTTCGGCGGCGGCCGTCCGGTGCGCATCTTCCGGTGAGCAGCGATCTTCTCTACTGGAATATGCAATACAGTATCCTCGGTGCCTTTTTTTTCATCGTGATGCTGAATATTTCCCGCGTCCGGCGTGCCCTCTCCGCAAGCGTGTTTCAGCCATACGAATTGATTTCCAATACACTGTACTTGTTTGAAATATTGATCAAGCTTCACTTTATGAATTCAAACGGGCACTGAGAAAAGAGCCGTCGAGAGAAAATTCCGTAGTCTCGTTGAATTATTTATTTTATCATTCTTTGAATACTGATCTGCAGGAATTTGCTTATTCCGAGCTGATCCCACAATTACAGTATTGTTGACATTGAGCAATCTCAGTTGAGACATCGTATAACTTTCTCACCTACCCAACGTATTTAAAAATGTTTTCATGTGTATACAGGTGGACTCTCTTCAACGAATCTCAAGGGTCCAGAAAAAATTCGTTGTGCAGATAATTTTGTTGAGAACTACAGTACTGTAATACTGGGAGAGAACCCTATGAGGTCAAAAGAAAATTCGCTGTACAGATACATTTATGTTGTAGACAATATAATTGTAAAGTGAGTCCACCGGTACTGAATTACATAGATTCCCCTGTGAATCCTTATTTTTCAAGTCATTTTTGCACCCTTCCATAGTTCCATAGTAATGGTTTTCTTCTGCATCATTTCCCCGTTAAATTTTTTATCGTCGGTTGTTTTTTTTAAAGTGACTTCCACTGATGCAATTTTTCTCACCGGAATTTTCTCTACCGACATAGTCTCCTTGCTGACGATTCTCTTCGTGCACTAATGCGGATGCTTTTCTCGGCATGAATGTAATGCTGGACCCAGTCGGTTGATCATTAAAGTACTGTACTCCATACAATGGCTGACCGAACATCTGCTTGTGGATTTTTGGGGATTCCTTCAAATTTAGTTTCTTGAAAATTCCTCGTATATTCCATTGATAGTTTTTGTGCATTTTTGCTGCGTAAATTGTAATATATTTTAAATTTAATTTATTTATTTAGAAGCACCCTGGTAATATTATTACTCTCACTTACGTTTATTAATTATGGGCATCAAATCAGACTTCTTTTGCATTCCAGTATTTTGCCGTGTCTTGAAAATTTTGTGCAGTCTCAACGCGCAACTCCAAATAGCATCATGATTGGATACACCCTTGTAGCAGCTGTGCTTGCGTTCTCCTTGGTTTCCTGGTCATCAAATGGACACACAATTGAGGTGAGTGTTGAGATATCGTTCATGAGCCGAAGATACTGTACATCATAATATCGATTGTCATTAATTTTCACTACACTCGATCACACCTTTCTTGTTGAGAAATATTGAACCGAGATCTCGGCATTTCTCTGTCTGCTCGCGAAAAGCGGATTACTTAAACGTAATCCCCGAGAAGAATTGAGATTCTTACAGGTGGTTTTCTATCGTGTATCATGCTTAATTTTCTGGATTACGTGTTCAATCCTTTTGCTTCACACAGTGAATTAAAAATTTTGTGGCCGGCTTTCGGTTGGGCAATTTTGAGTAAAACTCTACTGGAGTCACGAGTTGAGAGTCAAACGTGGAGGCAAAGTTTTCTAGGGACTCGTGACCGTGCATGTCCTCGTTCTGACGGGAGAGCTTACAAAAATTATTCTTCGAACTATTTTCGACCAATACTGTACTTTCTGGACGAAGTCCTTCAAATCGGGACGAATTGGAATATAGTTGTTGATTGGATTTAAATTTGAGAAAATAGCTGGTTTGATTCATTGTCTGCAAGTACTGCGGTCAAGAATACAAATCTTTTCTCATTTCGCTTGTAACTCTAGAAAGAGAGAGAGAATATCACAGACCTCAAGTGCCCGCTTTTCCCACGCTTTCTGCCTTTTTGACACCCGCGTTGGCGGACGCGTGTAATGTTTATACGTCTCCCGAAAGTCGCGGGCGAGGTACAATATTATTCTACTTCGGGAATTGCCGAGCACGTCTCGTTGCAAAGATGAGCACGGTGACCTTCGAAGGTCGAGAAGTCTTCATACGTTCTTGCGTCACCAGACGTTTCTATTATCTGACCAAGTGTAGGTAAGTCGCGTAAGCAATGTGAAAGAGTCGAGTGATGTTTCGAAGGAAATCACCCCCAACAGTTTGACCGCTGGGTCACGGTTACATTGGCTTCAGAAAGGGCAATAAAACTGAGGGATTATTTAATGGCACAATTCGAACATTTACGTCCGGACAGGAGTTTTAGCACATCCAACTTTTCATTCTGCTGCAGTGAGAGGATGAATTACGTATCCTTGATTTTTTTGTGCGTTGCAGTCTGTAGGGAGTCATTAGTTTCCACTTACCTTCCAAAATATATTGCTTCTTGAGATTAATGGCATCGAGGAATCATTCTTTCCTGTGGAATTTGCGTGTTCTATATCAGACTGGAAACAGTGCTTACAGTATATCATCTTGACTAATGATTGTATGATTGGCTTCTTCCGAAATAAACTAATCTACGATAACCCAGCGTAATCATGACATGTGATGAGTAATGAGTAAAATTATCGGACTATCGAAAAAGAATCCGGGGACAGGAGTATTTGGTAACGTTTGCTGTAAAGATGTTGCTCTGTAAAAATTGTTTCTCGAAAATTTCATAAAAGGTTCTCCTGTAATATCCTTATTGTTAACATGGGCAATATGCAACTTTACTTTACTGATCTGATGCTATAGCAATGTTGCCTTCTCAAATTTCTTCGAATGGAGTTGAATACTGAAAGAAAATCCCGCAAACCGAGGAAAATTTTCAGGAACTTTCTTATTGCAGGATGTATGTCTGCATAAGTTGAGTTTAATTTTTCTCGGCTTCAGCATTTTTTAAATGCAGTACAGTACTTGCACGATATCGAAATTCGGAATCCATTCCCTCGTGCCGTGTAAGAAGCGTAGTCTGTATTCATGAATTGCCATATACTGTAATCGCAAATCCGTGAAAAAGCTGTTCGTTAAAGGGAGGCTTCGACTTCGTTTTCTTCTGTTTTTTCTTGTTTTTCAAATATGCTTTAGTTCTGTTGAATAATTGGACTGTGGGATGTTATTAGCTCAGACATTTTTTCATACGCTCGATTAATTTTTGGATTGGCTGAATTTTTCTTCATCATCCACTGTCTCAGCATGCCGCATTTAATCAAGGACCACACTCACATTTTTCCTAAAAAATAGGTGCACTGACAGAAAAAAGCGGGGTAAGCGTCTTACTCCAATATAAAATTTTGTCTGCCAATTCTGTAATTGTGCGTGTCGTACTTTAATCAGATTCATAAACGTTAAAAGACATACTTTTTTGGAGAATAGAAGGAGTAAAAACAAACCGTACATTCAGCCTAAAAAAAATTGGCAGATGAAAATTTGAAACAAAAACAAATACTGTACTGTACAGAACACTTGAATTTAAACTTCCTGAGTGTATTAGTCCAAATGTCAGATTTCAACGCTTATCTCCCAAAAACAAAGCAATTTTTGCACCACTGAAAACCGCGTTGCGCTTCATATGCGGGTATTGATTTTTCTCGAAATTTTTGCATCAGAAATTAATACACGCGTCTTACAAAAGGATGCACGGCACTCAAGCATACAGTGGGCCCCCATCTTACGTCATCAATCCGTTCCAGGATGGACGTCATAACATGGGGCCGTCATAAGTTGAAACCCTATTTCCCTTAAGGTTACATTATAAAAAAATTAATTCGTTCCAGAAAACAAATTTTAAACTAAAATTATCCTTATATTTCAAATTTTTGTCAGAAATTGCATTAATAGACACAAGACATGTTTGAAAGACTGAATAACACAAAAGTGATAGGGGGTAGGGTAGTGAAATAGGGTAGGAGGAGAATGGTTTTCACAATTTTGAGCACTTTTCACAACTTTATTCTCATCTTCTTTACACCTTTCTTTTTTCAATTGGATAGTTATAACTTTTTGAACTTTCTTAGGTGCCATCTCAACAGATGGAGGGCTTGGTTCACACACTCAAAATTTGAAATGCCTGGAATAAGCATTCAGTTGTCAAAATTTTAACATTCTTACCTATTAAAAGACAGTTTAATAATTTAAGGAGGATTTGTTTTAATAAGTCGATATTACTTTACGTGTCCCGTCGTGTCTTGTGTGTTTTAAGTTTTAGGGAGCTAAACACAATTATTCAGCAATAATTGGCAAAAAAACTCACTTCCTCCCATATTCCTCCTAAACAAAATTATTCAGCTATAATGAAATGCACAGGGCAGCACAGAACACACAAAATTCAAAATCCCTCCTAAACACAATTATTCAGCAATAATTGGCAAAAAAACTCACTTCCTCCCACGAAAACTGTTGGTGCATGCATGGCACAAAAAAAAAATGGTTGGTGGGAGGGAGCTGAAGAACCTCAGAAGCTGTCGTATCATGAAATCCCGACGTAAGTCGGGGGTTTTTCAAGTAAATAAAAATCGTCGTAAGTTGAAACCGACGTAACATGGGCCCGTCGTAAGTCGGGGGCCCACTGTACTGTAATCGCAAATCCGTGAAAAAGCTGTTCGTTAAAGGGAGGCTTCGACTTCGTTTTCTTCTGTTTTTTCTTGTTTTTCAAATATGCTTTAGTTCTGTTGAATAATTGGACTGTGGGATGTTATGTGTCAATGCGGTTGGAAACTTTCACTGCAAAACAATTGCTCGCCTTGTTTTCTGGTAGATTCGCTTCCGGTATTTTTTCTCAGTAGATGCTGCGTGGATAGGACTCATCAATTGAATAATTCCTCTCGAGAACGTGCGATCACATGTCCGTAGACCAAGCATTGGGAACTTCATAGGCCACAAACCCGTTTTCTCTGGATAGGAAAATGCCATTTCAATTGGAAATGAAAAACTCGAGCACAGACAGCTTCATCTAGATACTGCGCCCTGTTCTCTATCTTCTGTGGAGGCCATACCATAGCTTTTCAGAAAGTTTTTGGGGAAGAGAGGGCTACTTGAAATCGCAAACTACGATGTATTTAATTTATCTACTGTACACGATTACTTATTACAGTATATTGTTTTCCTGTAGAAACGCCAAGCCGTTGATTGGCAAGACACAAAGGGGATGATCGATGCCATCACAAAAATGTTCAACGGTGAGCTGAACTTCCCGCAATACAACCCTGAGAATCTGCCGAAGAGCAGCTTCGATTGCGGAGCACAGCAACACGACGGATATTATGCTGACGTGGAGCTCGAATGCCAGGTTAGTGATTGCGACGTATCTGCGTTTCAGCGCAGTGCGAGAGAACAACTTTTTACCGGTCTGTCGTCTCGTCCCTTGACGTCGAATAATTGAGTTGCGCAAATACGAGCACGAAGGCCGAACAACTTTTCCCCTCCGCGGAAACCGTCTTCCGTTGATGAAATATTGTTTTCTTCAATGCGGAACGGTAAACAAAGGTTCCTTGAACCTGGGATCACTCGTCCGCTGCCCGACCCCGCAAAAACTAATTTCGCGTTTCCAATCCTCGAACTTGTTTGCTTGTCTCCTCCGTGTTTCATAACGAGCATTCGTCCGCTCGCAAATCGCATTCCGGCTACTGAAGTCCGTGATGAACATTTCTTGTCGATATGTAACATCGAGTGTCGTTGTGCAACTTTTTAGCTGATCATTAGGCCTTGTCTTTGACATGTAATGTAGATCTTGAAGAGGGATTTCTATCTTTGAATCAGGTTCCTTTTGCATGAACTGAAACTTTATTTCACGGACCCGATACTATTAAAATTCCTCTGCAATAGATTCCTTTGCAAGGATTTTTCCGTCCTGCAACTCCTTTTCCAGTTCTGGTAGCTTTTACACGACACTCTCTTCAACGAAATTCAGGGGATCAGAAGAAGATAGTTCTGCTGTAAAGATAATTTACGTGTGGAGGGGATCTCTGTATTACGGATGGACAAAAAATACAAGTCGTTGTACAGAACTTCGTAGAGAGACTACCTGTACTCACGAAATAATTTTTGAACTCCTGAACCCGTTCGAAGAGATTCCTCGAATGCCGTATTTTGGAATTGGAATTCCAGGTACTGTACGATATCATGGTGAGGACGAATCATGTAAAACGTATAAATTTATATCGTTGTAAGCAGATACTGTTACGGAGTTCAGGAATTCCTCCTATTTGAAAGAAACGCAGCTTCCCTGCGTTTCGCGAATGAATTCCGTTGATTTGAAATGCTCCGGTGCAATTTGATGGAATATCGAGCTCGCTTTTGTGCGTATTGATTGCAGGATGGGGAGTGGGTTTCGCAAGGACATTTCGCGCACTCCGGGGCTTTCGCGCGCGGGAATCTGATATTGTATTGAAAGAAGAAGACGATGGGAAGCTTTCCGCTTGTGGAAGGTGCTGAAAAAGCTTGGCATGAAAGGCAGGTTGTTGTGCGCGGGGGCTTTTGGAGGTCGTGATGGTTTGCGACATTAGCTTGTGTAACATTTACACCCTGCCGATCACCTTGTGCCTTGTGAATAGTCAGCCGCTTCTTCGAAACGCTGCTTGGGATCCCCGAGGTCTTGGGGTACGATTTCGTCAGGGCAGTTCAGTTTTCGTGCGGTTCATTATTGAGGAAATTTATGGCTGCGCTGATGAAAATTTTCCCGCAAATCAATCCGGAAACCTTCGTCGCATGAATGGCGGCTGCAATTGTACGTGAATTGCGTTCTTCAAAGCCTTGAATGCCTTTCCACTGAATTTTTATGATTTCATAGTAAATAATAAATTTACTTTCCTCAGAACTCGTTGCGCATCAGCGGGGTACTTATGAAGGAAATTGCATACGATTTGCTGACGTTCATTCTTTTCAACTTTTTTTTATTAATTTTAATGCAATTCACGTTTAGAATTACCTACTTCAATCTTGTACTTCTACGCAACCGAGGAATTCTTCGAGTGAGGAGAGATGGTCAAATTTATGGCATAAGATAAGTCTTCGAGTTTTTTTTCGCATTTTTTTCTTGCCGTATGCATAGGCAATAGCATTATGTTTTATCGTAATCGGCTTTCGCCTGCCTCGCGACGAAGCATTGCTGCCAAAGCAATCAAGTCCATCGTCTGATGAAACTTGGCCATGCACGGGGATGACCCCGTGTCCGTGCTGTCTTGCAGCACCCTAATCCCATCTTCGAAAAGGTGATCTCATGCCAAGGAAAAAGAACGAAGCGTCTGTAGCGCGTCTCCAATGTGAATAAAAATTTTTGTTACGAAATTCGCGCACGTTTTCAATCGGTCAAGGCACAGTTGCGTAATATCTTTTCAGGACCGAATTTGGGGAATCCCGTGTAATCTGTATTTGCGGAGAACAGGATGAAACATTTTGCTGTTCTTTTGCAAACTCGTTGAGCTTTCGAAATGCGAGGTTTAGCTTTAAAGTTTTCCTTATTACTTACTGTAAGCTTCAAGGAACTTCTTGAACAACTCTGAGTCGGGAGATCACGAACCTCCGCGAAAAAGAAGCGTGCAAGCCGGATTAGTTTCCCTCCGGTGTTCTAGCATGCTTTTTTCGTCGAATTGAACCTTAGGGCAACTTCTAGTTTGGTCATTGCTTATGAAAAATCACCACGAAGGACATTTTCTGGTAAATGAGCTTCTCCGTTTTGACATTGTCGAACTAAATTTTTCAATAATTTCATGTACAGTACTGTATCAGCAGATAACTTGTCGGAAAATGTATGATAAATTTTAGCAATCTACAATTTATTGCGAGCGATGTTGTGCTTTTCCATTGCTCTATTTTCTTCATTTCAACCTGGTTGAACAGAAATAGAAAAAAAATTGGATATTTCATAATTTATTCTGGATTTCCGGGAAAGTTACGGTGTATCGATTTCCATCTGCGATACGAGATCACAACAAGGGAAACATGGGAATGAAAAACAAAAATCGTAATTTAACCCTCGTATGTTCGCGTACTATTGTATACCGATAATACTGTACTGTAGTCGACTATTATGCTTCGATTTCGTCATGGGAGATTTAATCCGTTCGCAATCCCTAGTGCCGTATTCTTCGAGATGATTTTTCAGGATTTTGTTGGAGTACGCTGTAAATGTATGGAATTGATCATTCTAACCATTGGGAACGGTCCCCAAGGTCGCTTTGTTGGTCCAATTCACGGACTTTCTGTGGTCAAATTGAACTGAACTATCGGATTCCGCCATTGCGTTGCGTGTCAGCGTCCGATTCCCTGACCATCTCAGAAGTGTTGCCCTGGACATCCCGACTCGGCGCACGATTCTAATAAAAGTTCGAGAAATAAGACATTCGGGGAAAGTTATGGTGAAAGCGAGAGCTGAAACTACCGTGGTGCTGAAAGATTCACCGTTAATTTTCTGTATTCCCTGTTCTTCTTCCGACAGTTCCCTTGAGATGACTCGAGGGTTGCAGTACACTGGTTGATTTGAAGTGCATGAGCTGCACCGTTAGTTCAATAGTTCGTAAAAATCTTGGAAAGTTTTATGTAGGTTTTGAAATACGATGGATGTCAGTTTTCAGCGCGTCAGGAAAGGACATGTCACATCATTCTCAACATTTTCGTAATGAAGAAATTCTTTCAAATTTTTTGTATTCAATTTTAATATTGTAGTTCATATGTGGGGTAAGTTTTCTAAAACTCTCAACACCCGGACCTTCCAGACATCTATGGAATGGTACAATTATTCCTTTAATCCCCGAAGTCACGCGTGGATGAAACAGAAAAAGGAAATGATTCAATTAGACTTTGTTCCAGATTTTGTGGCATGCATGAAATAGAAATATCATATTTTGTCTTGTTTGAATAAACGAAACGATCTCATGACCTTATCGTCTCAAAATGTCGAAAAATTTAGTCTTGAATTGCGAACGTCGTAGTCCATGCCAAATTTTCCTGGTCTTATTTCTTGAAGAGTGGGATTCAGATCGATGTTCGAATTCCCCTGGAGCGACCGCGGATCCCTTCGTTAAGTGCATTCCTTGGATCAAAAGTTGAGAACCGCTGATCGTAAGAATCTCTAGTACCCTATTTTTCTACTAAATGTAGTAATTTACAACACCGTACTGTTGTAAGCTCCGAGTGACTGTACTGTTAATTTGTGGTGGTAGGCTTCGTAATTTTCCCACGGCTATCAAATCAAGGCGCTGTAAAAAAAAACCTTCGTTTTCGCCGGAATTCGGGATGACCTGTGTTGATGTTTAGTTCAGATGTAACAACCTGCTTCCGTATGCGTGTGGCGAGGGAGTTTCGTTCGTAATTAGAAGATTGTTTCCTCCTCCGAAAGCTCGTCCATCACTAGTGTTTTTTGTTTCGTTTTTGAATGACTTTTATGATTGAGTAATGAAATTATAACTGCTTCGTGAGAAACTCTGGGCAGTTATGCGTTGCAATAGCGTCTCGTGTGTAGTTGATGTATCTGTTGCGATTGCGGGAAGGCGTCTGAAACTACATGACTTGCAGTAGTTCCACGCAACCCGGCGTTGCACACATCTAGCGAAGCGTTTTGTGTTTTTTTAGTGGGAGGCGCTCGTAATGTCCGACTCAAGCAGCTATTTCCCTCATTATTTTTCCTCTGCGCACATCCGCGTGGGTCGCGATTTTTTTCCGGTGTCAAAGGTTAAGCTCAACCGACGCCATGAATCGATTGCGTGTGTGCTTTTTTTTTCCACCGACGGCCGGCTTGAGAAATCTCTGGGCTCTTGCTTGTTTGAGGAATTGCGCATTTCAAGGTGTTGGAACGGGGCTGCTGAGCTAGTACTGTAAATACAGTATCCGGATTTCCCCAAGATCTTCCCGCTTTCCACCGTCCTTGCCTTCGGCGCATGCATCATCGCGCGCTTTGGTTTATATCTGCTTCCTCGGGCTCAATTTTCTCCCCGGCTTCGTTACGTACTGTGCAATCTCTTCCCGAACGAGCAAACTGAGAGGCGTCTTCGTACTGAAATTTTGTCCAGTACTTGGGATTGTATACGACTCCTTTTGACGGGAAGCTTACACAACTGGTGGGTTGATGCGCTGTGCTTTGTGTCAGCGAAAACTGCGGTTGCGTAATCGCATGCTGCATATTTCCCACTTCACATTATATTATCCGTAGCATCTTGAAGCTTTATTTGAGGTACGAATTTTCCGGTGGTCTTGAACGTGACTGCGAATTTGTCTCGCTTGACACACGACGAGCAATCCAATCATGAAGGATCACCGAATGCTTGAACAAGGCTTCGAATGTCTGTGGACGTTTCAATATTTGCTATGAGAGAAAGTAAAATATTCCACTGCAAAAAAATTATATTAAAACTTCAGCTGAAGCGTGTTTATTACTCCTCAAGTTTA